GTGGATTTATGATGTCCCACATGCAATATAATTCAACAAAAAAAACTATCTTTACTTTAACTATTTATAACATCACACCTCTGTAACCTAGTGATTTCAAACCAGGTTCTACAGATAGCCAGAAAGCTCTAGTACTTTTCTATGAAAAAACATTATTTTCAAAATATTTTATATTTTTGTATATAAAACAGGCTAGAGAGGTCGTTAGAAGCTCAAAAATATTTTCTGAGCTATTAGGACTATGCTCTAGAGGGCTACCTATATGGCCATGCTAAAATAAATGTTTTGATGTTGAAGGCCAATGTGTAGGTTTCTAAAAAACCACACTCAAATTATAGTGTGCCAAACACTCCCCTTACGGATGGACACAGCCCTAGATCTAGACCCCAACGATAAGTGACCCCAAGCTCGTAAGCCTTTTCCGGGATACCTCCTTACTATCGATACGTTGGACTTATAGGTACTGTGCCATTTGAAAACCTGCGGAAGGATACAGGAAATAAAAATAAAAATAAAAAAGAATAATGCTGAACTGAACACTTGCTTTGGGATATTTCCCGTTTCCCGATCCAAGGGCGAAGCCGAAATAGTGATAAGAATCACAATATTGACGGGGTGAGTCTTGCACGGCTTTATTCCAAATTTAGTTATGATACTATCGCCGTGCCCCCAACTACCCCGGTAGAACGTGTTGGATTCTTATCTCCTGTCAAGGTCTGGTAATTTCTCTCTCTCCTCCCATATTGTTAGTCCCAGTGGTAGATTTTTCAGTGTTTTCTTTCGCTCTTTTCCCCTCACCTTCTCCAATGGAGGAATTGTTGGACCGCTTAGTGTTAGCCCGAATTCCCGCGGCGCATAAATTCTGAGATTCAGCCCCCACAGTGGGGTTGTGGTATTCCCGTTCGTTTCATCGGTTGCTCAGTGCGGAGAGGAGGTGGTGAGAGTTGAGCAGAGTCACGAGTGACTGGCTATGAACACCTCTTGAAGACATATTCGGACAGGAAAGTCTGGGGCTTTCAGACGAGTTTTACAATTCTTCATTGCTGGTTTTTCTTGCTTTTGAACTGGTGGGATAAATAAATAGGCAATGTCTATCGTGGTTCTCCCTACTACCGGTGTCGGCACGTACAGCCACATCAGCAAAGTTCTCAAACTTCTGGGTACTCCCAGCCTTTGGGGGCAGCTGGCTAACTCTCTCTTTCTCGTCACTCGGTAAAAGACATAGTAGTATCATATCAGAAAAATTTACTATGCCCCTAGAAGCGTATCCAAAAACAGTTGTCTAAAAGGTTCTTGCTGTCCTCTTGCCGTTAGTGAGTACTGTTCTTGGGGTACAAGGAATGGTATGAGAACTCTATGGACGGGGCTATACTTAACAGCCCAATTACCGCAATGTCCATCTCTTGTTATCCCGGCGTTGTTTCTAGTCCCCTCAGTTCCGCCGCCACTCACTCGTGCCGACAGATCGGCAGCTGGGGCCCCTTCTTACCCACTTCCCCCTTAGTACTGCCGCCGCCGGAAGTTTCCTACTCCTTCAGTTTCCTTTTCCCAATTCTAGGTATTCAGGTAGTCAGTGTGGCACTTCCCGTCACCAACAATCACTCGCTGCGGTATCCATCATCCCACCCTCGCCGGAACCTACGAGTACCCACCGCCACTACCCACCACACCACACCGTGGGGCGCAAACTATTCGCTATACCCAAAGGAGCTATTCCGGTAAGGTGTGAGGATAGACAAAGAGGTCCCAAGTATGCGGGTCCCTTGAAGAATGCATCCCGAAAATCATGGCTTATAAAGACTACTGATTGGCCACTACTTAGCTTCCGGGCTGCAGACCCCCCCCCCCCGTACGTGGGAGGTGTCACTCTTCGTCACGATGCACCCTCCCTTCTCGCCAGTCTCCGGTGAAATCCGCTCCGCCCCTCCCTCCCCCATTTCCTGGAACGGACATGTCCGATTCGTTCGATCGACCACACCGCTGTCCAAAGAATTCAACCTACGGCGAGGCTACCCCAATTCTTGCTAGAAGGCTTTTGGTCATTTGGTAGAGGGAGATGTTCTCGTGGAAGGGTTTTTTCTTTGCGAGACCTAGTTGGCGCACGCTGGAGGAGAGGTGCTGTTGGCGAGGCTGTCATGAGAAAACTGGGCGAACGATGCATATGCCTGGACACCAGCGAAGGAGGTTAGAGGAAATGTTGATGAGCATTTACCCTTCTACATAACTTAGGGCTTGATAATGGCTCTCTGATGCGACCTCCCGCACGGATGCAACCCTATTGCTTTTTTTTTTAAGGACGGGGATTCCCTTCTATGCGTTTACCAAGACTGGAGTTATCCTTGTCGAGGGAATTCTAGATTGCAGGTGTGGGTTTTATCACAATGCCTTTCGGATGCGGGAGGGATCCCTGCTTTATTCTCGTGATAGGCAGCGTATCCATCCCGCGGTTGCTAGGTAACTTGGCTGCAAAGGACTGGAGGGAAACTCAGACAATCCTTGCAGGAAAGCTATGCACAGCTTACTATTCATGCAGCCATATTGAAGGCCACATTTTCGATGCAGGTTTTGGAAACCTCAAGGGACAAATCGACCATGTTTGTCCCTTCATTCTGATGCCAGAGAAAATAATGCAGGGTCCCGTATACCATCCAGGGCGGCTGGCGGGAACGGTATCCGAGTGCGAATTTATGATCACAAACGAATTATCACAAATCCACCAGGGTTAATATCGATATCCAGCCCGATAATCGCCTCTTCCGAGGAGGCCTTGCTGCAATAGCCCCGCTTGGACATAGCTCTAGGTATCGAGAATCGGGTAGCCATCCTACCTCCTACCAAATTTCACTCCTTGCTGTTTGCCACTTGTCCGGTAGCCCTTGATAGTCCCTCACGCCCGATACGGGGAACCCGTAGTAGTGCGGTCAGGTGAACTCCTGTGGGTACGAGGCTAGAAGGAGGAGCCCAATGAGGTGCGGCGGCCGCGATGCAGTGGGCCGTTAGAAGGAAAGGTTTTGAGGGCAGTATGTATCGGGCGCCGTAAAGGCCTGACGAGCGATATCTAGCTAGTACACAGCACCAACTTGACGCATAAGGGCCAGAATGACGTTTTTGTGACCCCATGTATCTGTAAAGCACTTTGTGGATAGATATGCCCGGGATGAACTCTTCAGCCTAGCGACCTAACAGGAGCAGGGAAACGAGCTTCCGATCCAGCGGGCAAGTTTTATCCTTCACGGCGAACTATATCTCTCCGATAAATAGGGAGGCGGGACCTCTGTGCCCACTACTTTCTTGAACAAAATTTGAACCCATGATGAGGAGAAAATTTCCTATACAGGTAACAGCAGGATCGCAAGCACGCACGTGAAAACCAAACCCGATATTCCCCCCAAGAGAAAGCACTGCAACGACAGCGTCCAAAAAAGCCCCTAGATTCCAAGCGGCGCGCTACGTAGCCCCCCACCCCCACTCCCGAAAAATAGAAGCCCACCACCTTTGGGATCTCCTCCAACCACCTAGTCCTATGCAATAGTGCCCCGGCTCACGAGCGTACCAACAACTGGCCGGGACTCGTGCGCATAGAACAGATCCGCTCCTATGGGCCCCGGTGACACACAATCCATTGCGGCACCCCACCTCACGAGGGCTCTAGCCATTCACTCGATTGCACCCTGGTACTTAGGTACTGGTACAACGAGTACCCCTGCGAAACCAACGACTTGGTCCACCAGTGAGCTGCAAAAGGGCACCAGTAGTCGTGCACGGCGCTGCGGCCCGCGTGAGGGCATACAGCCCCCTGACGCTCATGCCAGGTACCGATCAGAGTCCTCTTTCGTCCTTGTTAGGCCCACCACGGGAGGATTCGCGTGGTTAGGACAATGACGAAGGGGGAGGACTTTAGATAGTACATCATAGTTTACGGCACTAGCGGGCCGGGATGGAACTCACTCGGCTTATAGTAGGCTATCCTAGGCAGGGGGTAGGGTTGAAAGGAGGAATTTTGAGGTGGTATTGCGTTGGTAGTCCAGGACCGCCGCCGCACAGGGTGAATAAGTGCTCTGCCAGGTATGGATTTCCCGGCGCCCTTTGTAGCGATGGTCCTAAGGCTAGGGAAATTTGTCTTTTACCAGGGCTGCTGCCGCGTGGAGCTGCATGAAGGGGCGAGGATGATGGAAGTTGATTTGTGTAGAGATTGAACAGGTGATTCTGGCAATGGAAAGTACGAGCCATCAAGTCTCTATCTCCTGCCATCTTTCATGCTTTCATCCCCCTCTCCATCGTCAGCACCCGTGATAGCACAAACAAGCACACCCCTCTATCCCCCCAGGGTTAACCCATACCCCAACCTCATCCACCCCGCAAAGCTTAACCCTCTTGCCCCACCTGTCAACGCTTTCACCTGCATAGTATCATACCAGTATCTCTACCCCCCCCCCATCCCACCAATAACCCTTCCGAGTCCCAGGATTGTAAGCGGAGCTTGAGAGGGAAAGAAGGGGGAAAAAAGCACCTTATCCAACGCACTTTCCTGTAACCACTCCATCCCCGGTTCCCCTCCCACCCCCCCCCCCCGAAAAAAGGAGCCGGCTGCCATGTGGGTTTGGTTCCCGGGTTTGTATGTAGGACACGGTGCGGTCCGGTGGGGGTATGGAATGCTCGGGCCGGTTTTGTGTACATGGTTGTGGTTCTCTGGGATGGATGGATTGGTGGATCGACGAGGGTGGGTGTGATACCGGTAACGAGGTTTCGGAGCTAAGATACGCACCCCCGATGGAGTTAACGAAGTTGCAACAATGCCCGGCAGTCTGGGCATAGGCTCACTCGATATCTGCGGATTTTCCTGCAGTATTTTCTTATTTGCCGTATTCCCTTCCCTTCTCCATATTCTAGAGGGGGGAGGGCTTCTGTTTTCGCCCCGGTCGTCGCCTCATCCCGCTTCAATTCTCTTCTGGGCGCTATTCCAGCCGGGCCTGTTGCGGGTTCTCCCCGAGCTATCATACGGTATATTAGGCTTATTGAGCAGTTATTGCGCTCGTAGTCCAGAAGCACAACAGCGCTCCGGGTTTTGTTTGCTCATACCGAGTGGCGGGGCCCTTAAGCCGTGGAGGTGCCGTGGGTCTGCCATGAAGGGTGTCAATCATTTCGGGGGGGTTTTCCATTCTTTAGTTGTTGTTCCGTGGGGCGGGTGTAGGTTAGCAGTGGCGGGGTGGATTGGACGAAACGGGGGTAAAGATGGGGACAGGTCGTGTCATAATGCATCGCACTTGAAGGGATAGAAGGGAGAGGGAGGGGGGAAAGGTCAACTTTATTCTCGTGTTTTGTTCTCGTGTTTGTGCTTCGTTCCCGTTCGCGCATGTGTTTCTAGGCGCCAGGTATGGCACCATCCCTTGCATAGTAGAGCACCGGTATGCGCCCTAGGCACTCCATGATACAGCACCGTATGGAATGGCAGGGTATTATCAGTAAGGGAGAGGTATATCTAGTTCGCCCGAGGTGAACGACTGACTACATCAAGCACGGGTAAGACAAGCTGCTCGAGGACAGTGCTGTACTGGTACGTTAAATTAGCCAGTCAATTGAGGTCAATTGATTGTACAGTACTATACATTGACAGGTAAGAGCACAGGAGGAATTACCGTACCACTTTGCGGTGTACAGTGTCACCCTCCGGTACACTGCGCTGAATAGGATATCCTTCTACACCGTTATGAGTAGGCGAATTTACTATAAGTGCTCATGTTTCTTTCGGCCAGTGAGGGTGAAGGTAACGATCAGGTAGAAATATTAGATTAATCATTTTGCGGCCGTGAGCTAGACTTAACCCCGCTTCCCAGCTCTCAATTTCTCCCTCCCTTTCCTCCCGCTAGGCCAGGACCCATCCATCCATACTCCAGTGCGATAGAAATAAAGACAAAAAACCTCCCCAATTGTTCTCTCAATAAACAAGGCAAACCTTCCTCCCAACCCACTCCCCGCCATCTTGACCAATAACCTCCTCAAACAGCCATCTCCCCACATCCCCCCTAGAAATCCTATACCCGACGGCAACGCCCTGGACATCCCCCCACTTCCCACTCCCGTTCCTAATCCTCCCCGCGTACCCCGCGCGCACCGCACCTCCAGCCGGCCCATCCGTCAGCAGCCCGGCCCTGGCCACAATCCACCTTACCAAACCTTCCTCCGCGCCAGTCACAACACCCTCCATCTTGACCTTGTCCTCATGCGGAATCTTAAGTATCCCGTACAAAGGCTTCATCACGAATGGCAATTCCCCGGGAACCAACCCGGTAGTACTGATCACCGCCAGCAACGGCTGCCGCCACTCCCCTTCGGCCACTCCACTCTTGAGTTGGCGGAGTCCGGATAAAATAGCCTCGCCGGCTTCCTGGCATACGTGCGGATTATCCAAGGTCGGGCGGAACGGGTTAAAGCCGAACTTTGGCACTCCGCCGATCCCCGAGATTATATACTTCCGGGGGAAGGAGGGATTCGTTTGCGAGCGGAGTGTATCGAGGACGGCAGCGGGAGTTTGGACGGTGCCTTCTATTATTGTCAAGTTTTCCAGTGTTTCCGCCGATAGAGTTGAGAGTTGGCTGCGGAGGTGGGAGGGACGACGGGTTACTGGTTGGGTACGGTGAGTTAGTCGATTTTCCCGGCGGGAATACACGATAGGGTGCGGGGGAGGTGAGCGGGGGGGGGCACGGAGACAAACAGGCAGAACACCGACACCCGCTCCCAAGCGCCAACTCCAGCGCCGCAAGCGCGCATCCGCCGGTAGGGCCAAAAAAGGCCACCTCTCTGACCTCAGTAGCAACTGCTTCCGACATTTCCCATCAATATGTTGGTCTTCGGTTCCTTTATTTCTCTTATTTTCTCTCTCGGCTGGTCTCGCCTTCTTGTCTTGTGGAACGTAGATGATTACTCCATCCATCCACAAGTCAGCGGGCTGCTTATATTATCCTACTCGGGAAATAGTTCATCCGTATCCATGCGCCACTTGACAATTTATCATTCCGGGAAGCCCAAAGAAGCTTAATTATATCCTGATGGCAGCGTACTTGCACGGCAACCATATTATTTATTTATTTTCTTCTTCCGTGTGCTGCAGCGTCCCCCGCCTCGCTACCGGCGGCACCGGTACGGGTACCGCTATCTCTGCGAGCACACACCTGCATGACTAACACGGCACAGTGCAATCCATCCATAGATGAACCGTCCGAGGCAGCGCGGGAAAATGTGGGTAACGCGTCCCGGGGCCAGAGTAATTGTAAAGCGAGTTACTGCACGTACTGTACGGTTCAAATGCGGATGCAGGGTGGAGCCCAGTATTGCGGGGAGTCGGGAGATTGTCTTTCTCGAGAGGGGATGATAAAGCACGAATGGGCAGATGTACGAGTACTCGAGTATGCGGGCTTATCCTATTGGGCAGTATTGGGTAGGGTATTCATGCTACGCTTCAGCGCTACCGGTGCCGGTATGGTATGGTGTTCACCATACCGTCACCAGTAGCCGCATCTCCTAGCCCAGTGAGTGAGTGGAGGATGTTGTGCTCCCCGAAACCACGGCCGGGGTAGAGATTACCAAGGCGCTTCCCCAGCATTCTTCTGTGGTTATGTGGGCACATGTGGGTACTGTACCGTGCAATCATACAACCAAAATCAACTGCACAGCGGCGAATTTGTAGTAACAAGGGCTGCCTATTAGCCTGTATCTCAGCTAGCGACACGGATGGCACAACACTTTCCACCCACCCGGTCAGGAGATACCCGAGTAGTGGTTTAGGGCCAGTCCAGAACCGTGCCACGCCGGGGTGCCCAACAGAGGAGACCCAAGTTTTCCTGGGTTGTCTGGATTGGTCCTGATTTTGGGGTAGCCTCTCCTTCCCCATTCTCTCTCTCTCTCTCTCTCTCATTCAGTAGAGTGTGGGTATTAGTTCTTCTAGACGATTCATGTACTCCTTTGCCCTACCAATACGCCGTTGATGCTACCTCGCACCCTTTTTCCCAACAGTGAGTAGCCTACATGTGTGTGTATAGATACTGTTAGAAACTGGTGGCACATGAGGCGGAGTACTCGAGTAGAGTAGAGTAGAACAGAGCAGAGCAGAGCAGAGTAGGAGAAAGAAAGTTTTGTGGGAGGTAAGAGGTAGGACAGGATACCTGCACTGCGGTACCAGCCCCCACCGTAATCACTGGCGGAGGAAGGGAGTGCCAAACTGTACAGTAGCGTGGAACCTGGAGATGGAGTGTTTTGTCATTGGTGTTATCCTACCCATCTTCTACGTATCATACTGTACAGTACCCTACCATCACCACTCATAGAAATATTTGACCCTTTCCCTCACCCTCCCCATTCCCAGCCTCGCCGAGCCCAGGACGTTTCCCATCGTAACAGGGCAAGGATTGAACAAATCACGAGAGGCTGGCCCCCGATAGCCTCGCAACTAACTCAGCTCACCAAACTGCGACATTATACATTCTTCATAAGCCCTTATAACTCTACGATTCGGCGGCCTTCTGTGGCATCGCGCGTACCCGGGGAGACCGTGTTGAGCCGGTAGGTTGTGCTACCGGTTCGGTCCCGCCACTATTTTCGGTCCCGTCGGGACCTTCCTATCAGCCGGTGCTCGCCGTTTCACCATATTGTGCCTTGGGCTATGGGGGACGTAGTATCTTGGACCTGGGGGGACGTGTAGTACTGGTAATAATTCTCACTTTCTACGCTTTTTACAAGCATCGCACCATAACTTAATGATCAACGGGAGGAGAGGTGGTGGTGGTGGTGGTGGTGGTGGTTGAGGTGGAACTGTTTCAATACCAGGGTTAGGGATTCTTGCACTCCCTCTCACTAGTTTTCGTGGGCTTGGTGAAAGGATCAGCCAATTACTGTAGGGAAAGTCTCAGTCCGCTGAAACCTCCAACACACGCGGTACAATATCGACGCTAAATATAAGGAACAATAGTCTTGGAAAACTATTTCAAAAGAGAACGTTCGGCCTGTAGATACATCGTTGGGCTAGGTGAGTGGGCGAGCGCGTGAGGGAAGGAGGGGAAGTGGGTGGGATGTGGAAATAAGGTGCTGCCTTGTACGAGCACAGATTTGCATGGTTAGGACGGTGGTTGCTCGTATCCTACGGTGTGGTACTGTATTTGCGCAGTGGTACCCTGACAAATGCTATCGTTGACGGCCACTTGTACGCTAAAAATGGCTTTATTCATATTAGTAAATTGGGATATTGGAAGGGATGCAGTAATGCTAGGTGAAAGATGTGATGGCAGGTTCTCGATTTAACTTTTCGCACAGGTTCCTAGGCAAATTCTTGGCTCCCAACTCTGGTTTAGGAACCAGTTGTGCCAATTGGTCCATGGTGCTTTGCGAAGCCGAGGGGTTTGTCATGAAAATACAAATATCTGAATCGCCAGATTGTTAACTACCTGCTGGTATATCCCTTGGTTTACCTTAATAATCGGTGGGTATGCAAACACAATATACAATACCCTGAATTTCCGCCATTTTGGCGTTCTTCCCTAGTACTTGTGCCCAACAACTACACAGCACAGTGCATATTTCACGTGGTTGTTTGCGCCTACAGATGTGCTCTGTGCTGTGGTATCATATTGTCGATAATGCCATTCTGGGATGTGCTGTAGCACTCTACCGATATGCTGCGTGTAGGCAGGTATCTGGGTAGATGGACATTACAGCTGAATGTGGGTGGGTATCTGGATACCGGTACTGTATGTGGGTTGGGGGGGGTTGGTGGGCAAGAAATAAAAAGGAAAAAAGCCAGCATCGTTTTGAGAGGATGGGGAGATAACCGCCCGCACAGCAAACTACCCCACTTTGTAAAAGAGCAGGCAGGATTCAGAGGCTTGCGAACATGGTAAAACGTTTTGAATGAAGGATCGGTAATGCACTCATGTACGAAAGGATGGAGGACGGCAATGGCGGAGTAGGAGGCGTTCTTGAGACCAGCCTCGACAGGTACTCAAGTATAGCAAAATCATCAGTGGTGGTGGGAGAGACGGGTCGCGCTCCCGAACTTTTTCCCCATGTATTTTTTTTCTTCTTCTCTCTTTTTGGTCTATCATACCAGGGACGGGGTTATCAGACCCTTAAACTGAACCCTTTACATCAATATTTCATTTTACTCGGGAGGAGAAACCGTTTTGGACGGATGCAGATTGGGTTGGAGATTATTGGATGTGGATTTTGCCTGGGGTGGTTGTCTTTTGCATGAGTACCGTACTGTAACCGGCCTAAAGTACGAGTATAGCAGAGTGTACTTGTAGTGCTCGAGTATGATATGATACAAGGAAATGTCCTGCTCCAGGTACAGTACCGTGGTAGGTTTGTTGTGCCGCCTAGGAGCATCAACTATACCGCAGCAGAATGGCCCCCTACATAATTGGATAACACTACCGTACTTGTACAGTTCACCTAGTCTTACTCGTTATTTCCTCTCCCCCCCCTTCCAGGTCTTCCAGGTGGTGGGTTGTTGTGGACGGGTGACTTTCGTCCCATCCCAGCTTCTTGCTTTTCCCCTACCCTACTCCTTCCTTGCCTTCTTAATGATAACTCCTCCTTTCCTAGTGCACCGTATCGAAGAGTTTGGGGCTAGATCTGCTGGTGGGAGACAGGATGTGTGGTGCGACGTCAAGTCAGATTGTTCCTCCCTGTGTGCTCCGTAGTTCGCGCTGAGCGTCCCACACGGGGGAGATGGGAAGTCGATACAAGTACGGTATTTCTTTGCTGGAAAGGAATACCGTAAGACCGCCACGGGTAGGCTGTGCCATACCGTATACCGGTACCAGATTACAGTATGACATAATATTACAAGTATGATATATGCCCCACCGCGGATTACGGTATAATACTCGAGTACCCTTTTCCTTTTGTTTCTTCCAAAAAATACTTTTTCCCGCAAATATCGAAACAAGGTAGAGAGGGATCGAACTGGCTGCCATAAGTTATGTGAGATCTAACGTTACAGTACAGAGAATACGGCTACAGTATGTCGAGTGCAACAAAGAGCGCCATTGCAAAACAAGGCAAGAGCGGTAACTTGGCCAGAACAACGGATGGTTCAACCTCCCATCATCATCACCACCACCACCTTCCCTTCTCGGGTTCCCTCCCAATCCTTACAGTACTTAGCCCAGCGTATAATCAATACCAGCTACAGAACTCTCCATGCGTCCTAGATCGCGCATCCCGGGGCCTGCATCTCTGCTACTCCCACCCCCCTCTCCCCTCCCCCGTTTCACACAATATCCCACCCGGTCTACACCACGCATCTTGACTTTTCTCCCACCCACACACCACTCCTCCAATTCACCAATTCACCTGCTCCCTCCTCCCCCCTTCTTGCCCTTCCTACTGTTGCACCCTCTCTCACATTTACGCACGCCTAGCATTCATTATGTCCTACCCTTCCGCCCATCCCACACCCATATCTATATACTGTCGCAGGTCCCCTCTTCTCCAAAGGGTCTTCAGGGTTCTCTGGCTTAACACCGAGATCGAATTCGTAACCTCCTCCCACTTTCTGACGGGGGACTAACAAGTCAGTCCATACTCTCCCTCCCTTTCCCCCTCCAGTCCTCGTCCCCCTCCCCCTCCCCTGGTGCTCATCTTGTCCGGGTTTGTGTTTTTTTTTCTTTTTTTTCTTCCTGTTCCACACACAGCCGCTAAGCTTCCCTCTTCTCACGTATTAACCATTGAGTCTTCCGCTTCTTCAGGGACGTCGCTGCGGTTTACCCTTTTCTCGCTTTAGACAGAATCTCTACCTAGCCCAGGCCGGCACTTGGACCCTGACTTACTTCACACCAACCTAGTTCCGCTCACCTGCTTATTGGCCTTTCCCGGCACCGATCCGAGTAACCATCGATCCTGCTCCCACCACCGTCGGATAGCCAGTCACCAGGCCCTGTGATATTCTCCTACCCACACTAGTGCTCCGCCGCCCTGGCCTCCCAATTCTAATATAGGCACGGGGGGAAGAAACCTTTTCTCTCACCTCAACTCTTTCACCCCACCATACTATTGGCAATGCCTACTAGTACAGACCCTCAAGCACCGTTGCGAAAGCGCAAGAGAGCTAGGACCGTCATTTCCTGCACTGAATGCCATCGAAGAAAGCAAAAGGTCGGTTTTATGACGCAAAAGACATGCGTTTCAATTTTCACTCCACGAGTGCTGACGATTGCTTACTCTTGACTGCAGTGTGATAGGCAACAACCGTGTGGAAACTGTACCCTTAGATCGGCTTCGCACTTGTGCCATTACGAGAGCAAACCGAACGCTACGAATAGCAACAGCAATAGCATTAGTTCAAACAACTCACCGATCAGTCCCAATGACTCGAATAGAAGCTTGAAGGGCGGGTCTCCCGACTCCACTGGGGAGTTATCGCTGGCACAGGTGAAGGACAGCACGGGTAGATTCGGCTACGTCAGGGGGAGTGGGCATACTGCGCTGAACGTCCTCGAGAAGGTATGGCAGCTGCGAGCCCAAGAAGCCAAGTCTACGCAAGCATTGACAAATCTGTTCTAGCTTGATCTCGAAGGTGGCAACTGGGCAAAGCCCAACATGGAACTCGTTGAGGTCTCGGAATGTGTCGAGCTCCACGCGTACACAAAATACATTCGCCAGATTCCTCCTCGACCATATACGCAGTTACTTGTTAAAGTATTTTTTTCAGAGTGCAACTGGATTTACGGGACACTCCATGAGGCGACGTTTATGGCGCACCTGAACGAGTGGTTTGAGATTTGTGCGGCAAAGGATTCCCCACATTCACCTGTCAAAAAGAAGATTTTGTCGCAGTTCCCAGCCTTGTTGTTACAGGTGCTCGCTATTGCCCTGCAAATGCTCCCGCGGGAGCACCACAAATTTATGGGGCAGCTGAATTTGGGAAAAGAGAATTTCTACACGCTCAGCGCTACCTACAGCAGTACCGCCTGCGAGCTTGCTAGCTTGATTTCGGCGAGCAGTCCTACACTTCCTAGGGTCCAACAGTGGTTCCTGAGGAGCTCATGGCTCAAGAGTGAGGGGAGGGCGGTTGAGGCGTGGCACGCGCTCGGACAGGCAATTAGGGAGGCGCAAGAGATGGGATTGCACAGGGAGCAGCCACGAAAACCGCCAAACAGCCAGGAAAATATTGCATGCATTTGGAACAGGGAGATGGAAAAAAGGGTTTGGGTTAATCTTTACGTATGGGATCGGTGCGGTGATCTCTTCCACTTGATTTGATTTCTTGATTTTTTCTTTCTTTCTAATGTGTTGGTTTGCAGATTTATGGCAATGATTCTTGGTCGCCCAACAATGATCAACGACCGCCATTGCGACGTCACACCGCCTCTGGACTGCGAGATACCTTCGGACCTGACTAAGCCCCCGGTTCCAAGGGGTCCGCTCGACCCGCCCACTCCGTTCACGGAGAGACTCCTGGATTACCAACTTGCCAATATCGTCAATGAGATCGACGAAATGGAGGTTAAAGTGGACAAACCTCTTAACCTCGATTTCTCGTCGATCGATTTGATGCACTCGAAGATCTTATCTTTCACGGAGTTCTTCCCCCCAGCGCTTGCGATTCAGAATCGAGACACATCCTACGACAATCATCATCCGTTCCTCGCGGCCCAAACCGAGCTCCTAAAAGCCTCAGCTTTTTGCCTTGTTGTCGGGCTTCACAGGCCGTTCGTGTTTACCCGGGATCGTTCCAAGCAGGAGCTTGTGAAGGCGTCACTCGCGATATTGGATTCGCAGACTCGCGTTTTCCAAATGACGAAGGAGCATCACCACACCATCTATACTCTATGCTTTTTCACATTTGATCCGGCAGTTTTGGTTGCTGCAGTGATAATAACATCGCCCGCGTCACTCGACCCTGAGATCATCGATGCATGCATGGAGGCCCTGCGCGAGGGCCAAAAACGTCTGGAAATCCTCGGCCAGCGCATCAAACTTGCCGAGAAAGGAGCCGCAGTGCTCAAGGTTTTGATATCCAAGGCCGAGTCGGCAATCAGTAGCGTGCAGCGAATCGACGGCATGATGAACCGAACGAGGATCTCGTCCCAGTCATCAACGACTCAATCAGACACCACCGACACGTCCTCGAACTCCCCATTCTCAACTACCTGCGCCCAGTCACACTCGTCGCCCGCTTCGTCTGTATCTTTTCCCGGATCCCTGTCACACTCCCCTGCGATGATGCCTAGCCAAATCAGGCTCCATCCGAGCGACAACCCAATGTGCAAGCCCGAGCTCATGAGCGACTTTGATTGGGCCACATACACGAATTCAGTAGTGCCCCACAGGGATCTCATGTCGATGGACCTTGAGGAGTTCTTTGCTATGCCAGAAATGGTTGCAGGAAATATGGACCAGGCAGGGCACGCCCACGTTCAGGTCCAAGCTCACCAATCCCAACAGCAAGATCTGTACTACGGCGGAGGCTGTGCCGTGGAGGAGCAGCAGATCATGGGCAGTCCGGGAGGAGTTCAGGGAGACGGGTTTTGGCAGAATTTGTTGAATGTTCAGTTTCAATGACAGTCGTTCTTTTCTAGACATGTCTTTTCCCCTTCTAGCGTTATAAATTGGGCTTTCGCGTTTTCCGTCTATTGCCTATTTATTATTCTCCTCCTTATCTCTTTTCTTTTGCTGTTTGAGGCGTAGTTTAAATTCGTTGGTTCATTAGTGGGGCAGTGGGTGGATTAGAAAGGGTTGTTGTATATCTCTGTTTTCCGGTGTTGTCTTGTTCTTCCCAGTACCCTTGCCTGCAGTTCTCATTAGTCCTGCTTATTACCTTCCTTCTCTCTTTCTCACCCGGGTATAGTTGTCCTCAGTTCCTTTATTTAAATTGGTGGGCTCCGGCTTTTTCACTCCTCTTCGTGTTTATTATTCTATTCCATTCTGTTCTATCTTTTCTTTTTTTTACAATCGGGGTATTTGATTTCCTTTTCCAGACTTCATGGCAGTGATGTGTCCACGAACTCCTATCATTTCCCTCTCGGACGATCCCAGAAAAAGGAAGGAAAGAAAGAAAGCCAACATGTATGCACGAGCTAGGCCAACTCACTCACCATGTGTTGTCCATACTTTTACCAGCCATTGACAAGGACGTCAACGGAAGTGGAAGTTGAAGTTGGCGATTACGCCGTCACGACTGGGTAGCCACGGCCAAATAAGTTAAGGTGGTATAACCAGAAGTGAACTTCCCACAACCCGCCGGAAGGACACAGGGCGGACGAGTAGAGAAATCCCACCAACAACCCAAGGCACCCTTCCTTCTACCTCTCGCCTCGCCTCACCTCACCTCACCTCGTGACATGACACCGAGTAATTTTCTTCAGGCCCAGTTCCAACATTTCCCACCCTCCACCATCTCTCCATCACCACCAATCAATCCATCGATCGATCAAGGAGAGAGTGAACTAGACAGAACTGCCCCGCCCTGCCACGGTCCTTGCCCGCTGCTGCGCTTGGCAATGTATTACAAGCATCGTGCCAGGCGTGAAAAGTGCGATTACTGCACACCCGGCACCGGCTTGGTATGATAAACTCCCCTGCTCTGGAGTATTTATCGACCGGGTGATGGGCTGTGAAGGTGGAGCGGAGTGGACTGGACTGGACTGGACTGGACTGGACTAGAGTGGAGTGGGAGAGTAATTGACGGATGATTATGGGTAGTAGGGGGGGGGTAATCGATCGGAGATGTGATACTCTTCCGTTTAGGCTGTTCGGTGGTGATGTAGTTCGAGTTGAATTCGACTCGGAAGGGGGGGGGGGGAAGGGTTATTCTATCTATCGAGGTGTACCGAAGTGAATATCATAAACTAGAGTTTTGTCTATCAGTCTGTCGGATCGGTTGCTTTCTCGAGATAGGCTGTCGCTGCTGCTGCGCTCTGGTTGTCATATCATATCGTATCATACATAGGAATGAAGGAAGGGAGGAAGGAAGGGAGGGAGGAGGGTAAGTCTCTCAATCTATCCTGCTCTACTGTAACGACCCCCCCCCCCCATTTCCCCATCTTGCCATCTCGCCATCTCCCCTCCCCTTCCTCTACTCTACTCTACTCTACTCTACCACTCTACCTCAGTTAACCAATGACGTAAACCCAACACACAAAACCTCCCCTCCCCGTCCGTGCGCTCCGACCGTTCGCGTGATGCGACGTACCAAGTTAGTTAGTTAGTTGGTACATTGTACTTTGTACCGTTCCACCCCACATTGTACCTGCACTCGTACCATACCGGTGCGTACAGTATCGTATCGTATCGCATAGTATCCTGTCGTGACGTATCATAGCGTGACGGGAATGGGAATGGGAATGTTGCTTGCAGTCCGGTGCGGGTACCGGTATCATAGGAGGATGTTTGCTCGTTTGGTTTGTGTGCGAGTGAGTGAGTGCGGAGGGGAGGGGGTATATAGTGGCATAGAAGAATGGGTAGGGGTGGTGAAGGAGGGGGACAGGTTTGATTGGATTGGATTGGATTGGATTGAATTGAATTGAATTGGACTTTTTTATATACAGTTTTATTGTGAGCTTTGTTTGGTTGGTTATATGGGCTGTGTTGTGTGAGATGGCGAAGAAAATGGAAATGGAAATGGGAAGGGAGTGTTTCATGGAGGGTCACTCGGGTGATTGTGGAGTGGAGGTATGATTGTGTATCTTTCACTTCTTGCCCTGCCTGGCTGTGTGGGGATTATGCTGCTGTGGCTGATTGCTAACGTTTATCTATCTCATGCATAGCGAGGCAATGCATCGAAATCGACCAACCAAGGAAACCCAACTCCACCAACCTCGCCCACCACCAGCGTTTCCAAAAAGCGTGCGCAATCCCCATCGCTCTCCTCCTCCTCCTCCTCGTCACCACCACCACCAAAACGGCGCGTCCTCCTCCCTTCCCTACCGGATGAGACGGTTCTACTTCTCACCCTAAAGGACACGCAAAACTTGCCATGGCCGCGGGTGCACGCCGCCTTCGCAGCCCACGGATGGGAGCGCAAACTGGCCGTGCTCAAGGGCCGGTACAAGGCAATCAAGGAGGGGGGCGTGTATTGGGAGGAGGAGGACGTGGACTTGTTGTTCCGCGCCGTGTGGGAGGTAGAGAGGGAGTTTGAGAGGGGGCGGTGGGATGCTGTTGCCGAGAAGGTGAGGAGTTGGGGCGGCTGCGGGGGCAGGGTTGGGAGTGGGGAGTGTGAGAGGAGGTGGAAGAAGGGGGGAGGGGGGAGGATGGGGGAGGAGAAGGAGGGGGAGGGGGGAAAGGCCGAGGAGGAGGAGGAGGGGCAGGGGAAGGGGAGAGGAAAGGGGATGTGAATGAAGGTTGGGAGTGTGCCGGGGCAGAGGGGGGGTGGTTTACAGTATTGTGCTACTTGGTCTTATTTTTCCCTTTTTTTCCGTTTGCTCATGTAGCTCAGCGCATTTACCGACAAGTGGAGTTAGTTTTTATCTACCATATTCATCTGTATCAATGCTTATCGTGGCAGGCAAGGAGGGAATCCAAGGCACCTGTGAGAGGGTATGGTGGGAATGAATCCAAGGATATTTCCACAGAAGCGGATATATATTCCGTACAGTATGTACGAGTACTAGTACGGGTACAGTAGCTCACGCTGTCAAAGCCCCCTATCGTACTCTTCCAACTATAGCAGATCATCACGGATTCAATGCTCTCCATCGATAGTTCCGTCAAGATGGTGGGAGATAGATACTCCAGACGTTTTGAGCTGGTGAACCTCCCCCACTGTGGTACAATCACCACGAAGGCAACCACCGTTTCGACAACCCCGAGCAGCCCTCTCCAACGATCAATTGAGCCACAAAATCGTTGGCACGATCCCATCTTCCCCTCTCCAATCACGCCCCGGCACGAACCCTTGGTACAGTACCGGTATTGTACCACTCCTCCAGGCGCTGTTGCCCCGTTTTCGCTATTCTCGGCTACCGAATCGGAGTCCAATCACTTCCAAACGTCCGCCCACTCACCAAGCCTCCCCTCGCGTGTCAATTCCGGAAATCCAAAGCCGGCGCCGTGCCTCACTCGTCCGCCCCCCCAGCATATGATTGTTATTCCCCGGACGGAGACATCCGAGTCTTACAGTGCGGTACCTCTCTCCCTTTCACTCTCACTTTCACATTCTCTCCTTTTGCAGCCCGTGGACTTAGCGTGGAGAGGTACTTTACACTTATTATACGGTATTATACCGACAACATTCTAGAAAGAAAGAGGGAAAGAAAAAGAGCAAAAACAGGAACAGGAACAAAAACAAAAACAAAAGCATGAATTCCCCTCGCCCGAATCAAAACAGGCCCGTTCCTGCATCCGCTTATTCCTCGCACAGACCCTAACCGAATAGTTAGGGGAGGGGGAGAAAAAAAAGTAAAAATTCCGACAAAACAATCATTGCCGGCAAGTACGGTAACCGTGCTCCTTCGCTCCCACTCTGAATAACTGAGCACTAATCTGGCATGACATCACAACTGGTTATCACCTAACCTGTAGTCCATGGATATCCATTTCTGCCAACTTCTACTCCCCAGTGCTCACTTGAGAATACTATCCATGGAAAAGGTGCATTGGAGTGGAATCAATGCTGTGTGGAAGCTCCGGGTGATAGGCTTGGCATCTGGTGAGTGGGAGAGGCTGGTGGTGGCACAGTGCAGGATGTCTTGGATTGTTTGCTTGGGAGATTTGTGGTTTAAGCGCAGGGGTGGAAGAGTGCCTGTATTAGGCGATGGTATGTACGATGTTCCCCTGAGGGGGCAGCTCCAGGACTATGCCGGCTCAAGTGCTCAGTGTAATGGCAGGAGCGGGAGGTTGGGAGAGAGGGCGGGTGGGGAAGTTGTGCGATCAGGGAGGGTGTACCGCGACCCGGTAATTCTCTCCGGTTGGGTATTATTATTACTATTTTCTTTCTTCCTTTCCCCCTTGCTCCTTTTCCTTTTCTTTTTTTTCCCCCTCTTTCCACCTTTCCCTGTTTTTATTTACGGTGTTTGTATGAAGGGGTACTTGTACCGTATGATGGACGGACGGGTACTGGCTGGGCATATCATACACAATAGAGAGGTACGAAGGGGGGGAGGGGGGGAATCCATCCAACCGCGACAAACGGGACTGTACTCGAGTACGGTACCAGTACTGTACCGACATCGGTGGCCATTCATACCGTACTCGAGGGTACGCGATGGGGATGGGATTGACGGACGGACCAAACGGGGTATCACTTAAGGGTTGTTGCTATGCACGGACCGGACTTGCTTGGATATTTCCGGGACCGTGGGTTCGGGGGTTATTGATGATGATGATGATGATGGCGGTGGTGATGGTGATGGTGGTGGTGGTGGTGGTGGTGATGATGATGATGATGATAGTGATATTGGATACTTTTCACGACGCGGTCAGGTGTTTTGAAAAGCTACAGATCTGCCCTATGTCTCAGGGAAACGTGGTCTGTGCGGCCACCATTTTCCCAACCACGATGGCGGTGGTACGAGAGTACACGATGTATTTCTGGAAAATTAAGGACCGGATTCCGCCTTCGAATTGGTTGTATAAAAAGGCGAAAGCTTCCTGAGTCTCTCCCCTACTATCCCGCCCCAATATTGTCTATCGAAATTATTAACTCACCCACTGCTTGCTACTGTTCTGCTTCGCTCCACACGCCAACCCTTCCCACCACCTTGATACACGCGCGCAATATGAATTGCACTCCAGAATACCCCTTCCAGAGCTACTCCTATTTGACCCAGCCATTCTTCCCAACCACGGCACAACTCCCCTGCCAACCCTACCCATCACCCCAGCACTCTCCACTCTCCCCGCAACTCGAACAAAAGTACTTCCACCACTCGACCACCTTCGCGCTTGACCCATTCCTCCCTCCTCCTCCTCCTCCTCCTGCTGCTGCTCCGACGCCCCAAGAACCCATGTCTCCGTCACCTCCCGCCGCCAAACAGGAATCCATCTCCGAGCCATCCCCGGAAGTCACCCCGGCCCCAAACGCGTCTGTGGCCGCCCCCGCAACGAAACGTCCCCGCCAGCGTGGACCCCCGACGAAGCACTCCGACACTACGAGCCGATATTCAATAAGCCAGGACAACGACCGCCTCTACAAGCTCAGAGAGGAGGAGCGCAAGACTTGGCAGGAGATTGCTGAAGTCTTCAAGAAGGAGGGGAGGGGGAATCTCACGACGAACGTCATTCGCGTGAGATTCTACCGCCTGAAAGATAAGACTGTGGTGTGGGGCGATGACGAGGTTAGTACTTGCATCCTCCTCCGGGATAGGGGGAAAAGGGAGTTGAGGGGGCTAATATGGCGGGTAGATTGAGAGATTGAAAGCTGCAATTGCAGATGTTGACAAGAGGAAGTGGGAGCTTGTGAGCGCGAAGATGGCAGAATTGGGAGGCGCCGAGGGACGAAGGTTTCCTGCCGCTGTGTGCGAGAGGAAGGCGAAGGTGATCTAACTTTATCATCGGTGGGGGGGGGGGGGGGCGGGGAAATGTATTATTAAGGTGTTTTAGGTGCGATGTTTCTAGTTTATGTTCGTTCCCTGTTTGGTTCCTTGATTATTGGGTCTTTCTATATCTTTTGGGAAGTGCCATTACTAGGCATAACTTACGGCGCTGGGTAAGTCTTGGTCTATTACTGTTCTCCGGTAGAGGTTCTCGAATCTCCTCGGTTCTTTCTTTCTTCGTTCATCGATCTTCTCTCCCTTCCTCTTTTCTTATACTTCCTTCTCCTTTTATCTACGTGGCGTTTCTGGATGGCTTTATTTCTCCGGTCTTTCTCGTGGTATTCGGCTCCCTTTGATTTCTTATTTTGGCTTCATCCCGGTAGTATAACAGTATACAGTATATATAGCTCACGCTCTGCTTTTTGTCCACGGTTAGGTAGGATCGGTATCAATGTATAAGTATAATTTTTTTTCCTTTTCTTTTTTTTGTTTCCTTCTGAGATCTCTCTCCCTTCGGCCATTGCTGCCACATTGGTTCGCAATTTTGTGTGTCCCAGGGAAAGGGAATTTAGTGGGGTGGGAAAGGGTTTGATTCAATCTCTGTACATGTGTGAATGATCATGGTGACGGGTTTTTGGGCGTAGGAAGTTGGGTAGGTCACTTGCGGGTTGTGTAGATAGTCCAGGCGGCCCCAAGGCAGAAGGGTGTCGACGAGGGAATAGCAAGATTTTCCCGACGTTTGTGGGGGGAAAATTGGGTCCGCCTGGACCACTGGCTTATGATACTCATAAAGAGATCTTGCTGGCATCCAATCGCGAGAGAGGTAGCAGAATACCTGTTGGAATGTAGACCCATGTACCAAGAAGTTAGTAAGGCAAGTATCTAAACTAAAATCTGTAGATAACGATACTCAGCGGTAGGATTCCGAAGACACTGATGAACTTCTACTCCCTAGCTACTCCCTAGTCTTGATCAGGGGTCGGTCAATCATTCAAGGGAAAGTTGCGATCCAACATCTTTTGGTATTGAAGCCAATAGAGAGAGGACTTTATCAGAGTTCGTATTCAAAATCTCATCCTTGGTACCTGATTCCCAGTGATGGATTCGAGAATATGGTACCCGGCGGTTTGTGCACTATTGCGCTCATAGACAGGCAGCCAGCGCAAGGTCTGGACACTATGAATGCCAGGGTATTTGGTCATTTTTTTTTATATTTAAACCTTCCTGTGCTCCCAGTTTTCAGTCAGTCCGTATCGGTCAGGCCTTCCCGGCTCTATTTTTCGATGGACGGTTGATGATGGGAAGTAAGGTTCCAGGAAGTCAAGTGAATTAAAGAGTAGAGAGAGTAGTTAAGTATAGTAGGGGCCATGCGGGCAGTGCTCACCGGGTGCCCAGAAAGGCTGTGAGAAATATGGGGCGCAGAGTGGGGAGGGGAAGAGAAGAGAAGAAGAAATCAACCAAAAGGGAAGACGCTTCAACGCTAGCTATACCCTAGTGGGTAGTAGGTCACTCACTGTTGTGGGATTCGGATTTGTGCCCTCCACCGCATACCACCATATATCAACATGAGTGATATCCCATGACTACACCTGTCACCCCCTCGTGTACATATGCCCTTGTGAAGGCGTCATGTTCCTTCTTCCCCTTTCCCCTTTTTTCTACCCTTTCTTCTCACGTTCTGAGATCGGCAGTCCAAAAATACCTGATTGTTCTCCAAAGCACGAAAAACTCAATTTCACCTCCCGCTTCTCATCTTGCATGCTGGTTCCGTGATATTTTCTAAGACTTTCGGCTACTATGGTTGTCCAAGTCCGCCCAATACTATTAGTGCCTGACAGTCTACTGATATCCGATAACGCTCACCACAGTATCTACGAGCGATGCTACATAAGATTTATGGCTATGCTAGATCCCTGTCGGGGAAGTGATGTCGGCGGGGGCGTTTGGAATTCAAGCGTGCATGGTAGGAGTGAAAAAGGAGGGTGAATGCGAACATGCTAAGGATGTGACAACATCCCATCCGTTTCGTAGGCACGATAATATAGAAAGAAGGAAAGGAAGGAAGGAAGCAAAGTAGAAGGCCGCGGCTATATAGTAAGTAATTTTGTACTGATACAGTATGGGCAGTACATGGGCCTAAGGTTTCAAAGCCTGGTCAAAGTGAACCTGTTACAGTATCCACTATATATATTATAACAAGCAACAATATTGTTTTGCTTTCTAAGTCTTATAATATATTGTATTTATATTCTTCTTAAGACCTATGATTCCATCCCTATTACTACATAATTATAACTAATAAAAAAAATCAAATATAGCTACTATTGCTTACAACTACAAAGTTATATAAGACTTTGTAACACATATATAAGTCATAGTATGAAATCCATCATATTATTTGACTCAACTTTTTTATATACTAGTATATATTATTAAAAGAAATATAAATCAATAACTGTCTTATCCTGAGAGAGTAAGCCATACATGAAACTTTAATTAATAATCATAAATCACAGGTATAAGTCATATATTATGAACTTTGAAAACCTTATTTTTCTATAGTAATTGACTGGTCTTATAACAGATCTGATTATAATAACAGATTTAGTTTCTTAAAAAAAGCAGAATAAAATTGGGAATTGAAATACAAGAATACTATATGTCTATTAGTTTCAGGATACTAGTAGAAATATTGTAAAATCAAGAAAAATAAATATCCTTACTTTGAGAGTGTTATTGTAATAGGCAGGGTCAGAGGATCGGGTAGCCCAAGGCATACCATGATTAGAGCAGGCAGGAGTTCAGAGGTGAGGTCTGTGTGCGGGCATACAACCCAAGTGAGTTGTATGAGGTTCGGTGTTCAGAGGTTTAGGGTCAGAATTCACAGGTTCTGGAGGACATGAAACAGAAGAGAGATATAATTTCTAGGTACAGGTGTTCTAAGGAGATTATCAGATTGCATAAAGAAAGTATAATATAAAGGGGCACACCCCTTTATATATAAAGAAAATTCTCCTCGATCACTAATACAAAAGAAAGTCCTTGGCATCATGTGCAGCTGCCCTCCTTCCATCAAGTTCCATCAAGTTCCCTTATGCAGTAACACACTCCAATCATAGTACAAAGGAAATCCTACTATGCAACTGAGAAAACCACACCCAATATATGCAACCAAAAATCCAATGCCCAATCCTTCTCCATGGCTGGGTGGCTGTGACAGTTATATCCTTTAAGCTGATAACATTTCAGTTATCTACTAACCAAAATAGTTGTATATAACATAGAAAGTATTAAGTTGTAGAAAGTACTGGCAGGTAGTATATTATATATACTATATAGTATATAAATATTTTGTATTGGGACAGGAGTTGCTCAGGTATTCAAGTCCTAACTACTATTAAGTCTTCTAACTTGATAGTTATTTAAGAACAATTATATCTTAAATATATACTTTTTCTACTACAATGGCATGGCAGAGGATGTGGTAGATAGTAGTAGTATAAATATAGTCTATATATTATTTAATATTAGTAATAATTAAATAAAATTTCGAAAGAATACCCACACTATTAATATCTATACTTTTTTCCTTTTATTAAATTGCTCTTGATAAATAAAATTTATAGGTGAAAAATTAGAATAATAAAAATTGAAATGCTATTAGAATCATTAGAAACTGGTATTTGAAGATATAAAAAAATAACAAAAACCTGAAAGGGTTATAACTACCATTTATTACTAGAATCTGATTGTCTAGTATTATAATTTTCTTCAGAACAATGAATTGGCTCTTAACAGTAACCTGTTAAGAGCCAAATTTTTAAAGAAAGATATGAAGAGGTGATAAGAATGAGGTACTTTTCTGCAAGTACTACAAGTCTGTTAGTATCTAATTCCTATAAAATCAATTAATAAATTAGTTGCAACTTACCTTTTACTAGTAACACTAGTAGTATGGTTCCATTCCCCAACTATTTCCATCTTTATTAAATGTTCTAAAAGGAGCTTTCTACTAGTATTAACTTGAATATTAGTAATTCCATTTAAGTTATTATAATAAACAGGAGAGATATTACATGAATATATATAGATAGAAACAAGAATCAGCAGTTCTTGAATACTCTTTCTTGTTTCAATATCTGATAACAATATATTGTTAAAGGTAATTGAGTACCATTATTTCTTAATATAAGAGTATGGAAAGTAAGGAACCAAGTATTCCATAGGAGGAGGGCTAGAAGTAGGCACTTTTATGCAAGTACTATATATTTGTTAGTTATAATATACTATTAAATAGAATTAGAATAAGTAAATACTTACCCTACAACACCACAACCTCCTATTATAGTAATAAAAATAGTTCAACTCCAGTTGGTTGTTAACTACTATTTATTTATTAGTTTCTAGATTCCATTAAAAATATTATAAAACTAAGAAATAAGTATATACTTACTTTTATATTCTTAGTACTAATAATAATCCAGTAATCTATAGACCAAAAATGATTGTAGGTTTGTAAGAAATGTTAGGGACTGGAGAATGGTAGTTTGTAGTATGGATAGAATATATAAGTTATTTAATTTAATAACTTTGCAGGGACAAGTATGTCCCAAGCGTTTCCTTTCTCAGCTCCAACCAGCAATATAAAATATTACTAGTAGAAGTAGTATACTAGCATATATAGCCTATATATAATTCACTATTAGTATTACTAGTATCTTAACTAGATTTTTAAACAAGGGACTTCTAGTTATATTACTTGGGATGTATGGTCTATATGTTATTGTATCAAGATATCCAATATCTTTTTAGAATATTTGGACCAGCAGAGACTTAGAGTTGTTGGCTGCCAATAAAGAGTCTCTTGAAAAAGATAGAAAAAAAAGTGAGAATTTGCCTGCAAATTCTATATTATTTATTAGTATTAAATTCTACCAATTAAACTAAAACAAGTAATTATATCTTACCCCACAATGCTAATATTTTCCTTTATTCTGAAAACCTCAAATAAAATGTCTTTATGAAAAGACAAATCTTCCTTTTGATATGGACCTGTTATTATCAATATTGAGATAAAGAAAATCATTGTAGCAGGAAATTATATACCATATCAATATCCATATAGATCTGTTAAATAGAGGAAGTAAGGTACTTGAAGTCATAGTTTGTCTACAAACTTTAGTCTTATTAGATTTCTGTCTTTAAATAGTAGTCAAATAGATAGATAGATTTATATACTCAATGAAGAGAAGACAACATACCTGATAGTGCTAATAATATATGACTCCAATCCTAATCCCAGGGGTATATGTTCCCTGGGAGGTGAGAGTGATTCAATTCATTCTTGTTTGGCTACTCTGCCTCTTATAATCTCTCTCACCCCCTCTGCTACTCAGTTGCAATCTCACGACTGGCAGCATGAGGACTGCAGAGAGGTGGAGTAATGGGGCAGTGTTTCTGCCAAAACAGAGAAGGTATAAATGTAAATGTGGATTTAAATGTAAATGTAAATGTAAATGTAAATAGAAGGAAGGAAGGAAGGAAGGAAGGAAGGGAGTGATATGGAGAAGAGAATGAAGGAAGAGGGGAAGGACCCCTCTTATATACATGAGAGGAGCACTCGTGCTCCCCCATATTTGTGTGTGCGTGCACGTGCAGGCCCTCAATGTTTCTTGTGACCGGATGTAACTGCGAGATGCGGGCATGACCGTGACTACGTTTTGGCCCGAGTGCGAGCGGGCTACGGCCCTTGCTCTACCCCCCGCACCATTCTCCTTCTGTAACAGCAAAGTCTTCCTTCCGGAGGGAGGGATTTGACTGTCTTGTTCTTGTTCTTGTGCGTCCCTGTTTCCTGCTCTGCGATAAGCGTCTCGAGCCGATCGGCCAAATTCCTCGCAAAGGACTCAAAGAAACTTTAAAGGAGAAGGCATGTGGACTTCTGGTCAATGAGAGTTTCTCCGGGAGCCTCAAGAATTTCAGCGCTGGGTGGGTTCCTTGCTCGATATCCGGTCGGGTGATCTCTGTGGAAAATACGGTACGCAGCTAACCTTCTAACTGGCGAGAGGTCTATAGTACACTCAGTGTACAGTAGAGGCAGGGCTGGCAACGGTCTGTTGGATGTTAGGCTCCACGGGGAGGTTACCAGGAAGTCCGGGCCCGGTAGGAACACTATTAAGAGTCTGTCTGGTCCTTCGACTATTGAGGACGGCAGGTTTTGGCAAGAGCAACAGGATTTGCAAGTTGAGACATTATTTTGTAGTCCGAGTACACTGGCCACAGATGATAGTAACGGGCTGCAGTTCTCTCTCAATGACTATAGAGGCGGGCCGGGATTCGTGGTGGCACGAAGGGGACTACATGGGTCTGCGAATGATGCTGTGACCGCGGGGAACCCTTGACCGAGTTATGTGAGTCGTGATATGCACACGGTCCCGGAGTGCCTGGAGTTTTCTGACTTCTTTCTAGTTTTCTCTAGTGCCTCAGCCGTTCAAGGACTATCTGCCACTGCGTGTTAGTTGACACAAAAACACGAGTTCAATTGCGCTCCTCCTTTCACAACATAAATCATGTTGGGATAGAAATTGGCTTACCGGTATTGATCCCGTCAGAGGCGACTGGCAAGCAAATATTTATACTCCCCAAAAGAGGGAAACAAGCCGTATTGGCCCTGTCAAGCTGCGACAAGCACAGATTTCCCCGACCGGCTTCGTCAGCTAGCCTCCCGACCTGATCCAGGACGGCGTTGTGGGACCGGCCGGCTTGCCTATTCTCTAGCAAAGAGCTCGAGTCAAAGTCCTGGCCGGGGCCTGACGGACGGGCTGCGATTCGTAGCCCATCCTCGTCGTCCTGCCCTTATGGTAGATTGATTGCCCGATTGCGAACACTGCATATAGAAGCTTATAGCAAATTCTCTCTCGGCCTATGTTGGGATCAGCCTGCACCAGACCCTTTCCTCAGCATTGACCCAAACTGAGAATATCCATGCTGTGCTATTTAAGCAGCAGCTCTTTCCACCTCTTTTTTTCATTTTTTTTTTCCCCCACTTTTGCCGGGCACAGGAATCATAGGCATTATGGGAGACAGCCAAGTCAACACACGACATCCTCATGGCATCTCACCCCCAATAATCAGCCAGAACGCATCATACCACAACCCAAATCTTCCGCATTACCGTGCAAACCCAAAACGTCTAACCTATGGTAGTGACTGGCCCGCCGCCGGTGCTCGGTTCTTATGCTCTAGCCTACCCAAATCCAAGTCGGATAATGGGGTCAGTCTGGCCAAACCACCACTTGCCGCATACTATCCAACCCCCAACACTCGTGCAGCTGCCTTTCTATCCTCGGCCCACCCTCTGCCAGTTTCAACGATACTAAAGTGTTTTCACGTTCACTCCTCATTAGTCCTGTCCGGCGGTCCGTTCGTTGGGGGGACCGATCGAATGACGGGAGAAGCCTGTATAACTAATTGGCGGGATATCGGCTGTGAGGTTCTTCCGTTCGCTAATTATTTTAGGTGTAATACGAGCCACCAAAGGGTTCGCCAGAAATACCAGCCTAATCTGCACAGCAAAAGGACCGCCGGCCCACCAGAAAGACATGTAAAAAGGTCCCAGATTCGGTGAATTCGCAACACTTAGAAGGACCCCCCTCCTCAGACGTTGGAAAAGGAGCGGAAAACGATCGACCCAAACACACCCACAACTATAGGCCCAACGGTACATCGGTCACCGCCCCAGTCCAAAGCGATTCAAATTCAAATTCCGTCCAGCAGCCACTTTCGAGGAATGGATATTTCCATCCCGGGGCCGCATCATACCCCATCAACCGCTCAACTTCGACCCGCCACTAACAAGAACCTTCTTCCAATAGGCTTAGAGTCTCATATGCACAGTACCGGCATGGAGATACCGGTACGAGTACTATCACAGCAACTTTGTGCTTTGGCGCCACCCTAAGCCTTTCAAAGGGTAGTGTTGGTCAGCGGTGGGCCGAATCCCAGCAGTTGATGCGGCAGTCTGAACGTCACTGTGCAGCCAAACAACCGAGATTGTTCCCAACCGGGCGGACCGAAGCCAAACCCGATCCGACTCAAAACCGCCGGTTCTCAAATTACCATGCCCAACCACCGAGAGCGGAAGCGGCGTTGAGGGAGAGAAAAAAAATTAATTCAGCAGTATACGACTCAGACATAAAGTCTGAGTCCCCCTCCCTTCCTCCCCATTCCTGAGCAGTGGCGCGGGAAGAATTCTCTACACCAAGGTGCCGGCCAGGGCCAGGGATTCCGTATGGGAAAAGGTACCCTGTAACAGATGTTTCCAGCCCAGTAGCCCACGGCCCGGTACGAACCCAAAGTAAAGGAGTGGGCCGATTATCTATTATATCATACCCCAGAGGCCCAAATAGCCCCCCAAGCTCCCCAGGCCCAGATTCAATGTGTCTGTGGAGATATAATGACTCGAGAACCAGCAATCTTAGCGCGCTTTGACCTCCGTCTGCTCACTACATGACCGTAATTGCAATCAATACCGCGAGTGATATCCCATGAACCTTATTCGACGGTCCTAGCCACGACCAGCATGAAGAATGGTCCCGTATAATCATCTTATTCCGTTCGCGTAGGAACATCTCATCACTGTTATGTGTTGTGTGTATACGGGTAGCAGCCCTGATAGTATTGTGGTGATGGAGGACACTGATGTTGAGGGTTTGTAGACCTAAGGGTCAAGAGATTGTGATCTCACACTGTGTTTGCTCCTGTATTTAGACAACTCGCCCGCACCTGTAAGATACAACCAAGTTCCATCCACCTCACCACCACATCTGGTCAACAATTGCTACGTAGTGCACAAGGCGAAAGCCAGAACTCAAACTTTTTTTTTGAAAACAAGAGCCTCCCATCTGCCAAACAATGCCAATTATGCCAACTATGCTACGGTACACCCACTAGCCACGCTACAGACAATAAACCCCGCTAATTGAATTACAACTCAACACATATCCATTTATCTCCTCCCCTTCCTTTTCCCTGCAACTACCTTGAAAGCGGCATTAGTCTCTGGGCTGGCAGCCCTAGCAGACTGTTGAGTATTGGCCTTTCCCTTCGCAACCTCGTTCCACCCACCAGTTCCACCACCATTGGATGATCCTGCCTCAATGACGACGCCGGTTCTGGCTGCCTCCTTACGACGGATGAATTCTGCAGCGAAACGACGGCCGTCCATGGTTGTGGAGCAGTCATAGATGGTGTCGGCGATGAGACTGGCGTCCAGGGGGAAGTTGAGCATCTCGGCAAGGAGTTCATTGGCTGAAAAAGGTTAAAAAATTAGCACACTTACTCAAAAGTACAAGCTTAGAATTTCCGAATACCTTTGACACCCTCCTTCAATCCGGCAAGAGATGCCATCGCCCACTTGTGAAATTCCCCCTCAGCGCTCGTAGCGGCAGGCTTGACTGGCGCAGCGGCCGGTACAGCCTTTTTAGCGGTTTGGATACCGATAGTGCTAGATACAGTTCTCAACGGCTGCGCTGGCGCGGTTGGAGTGGAAGGAAGAGGACCGGCAGGACCACCGGCACCCAACTTGGATTTTCCCCCGGGCCCGACGGTGGTCCATGCTCCACCAACTACGGGCTGGGAAGTCTTGCTAGCGAGGTCAGCATACCTCTTTCCGCTGGCTAGAGGAGCCGAAGGAATTTGTGTGGCCGCCTGAGCTGTAGACGCCGCGAGAGCTGCGGCTTTTGCTTTGCGGGCTTCCTCTTCCTTTTGAATTTGTGAAAGCGTCTTTTTAGTTCCCGCACTTGGAAGGGAGCTTGCCTTGACCAATGGCTTGGCCCACGCAGATGCAGACCCGGTAGCTGGAGTAGCGGACGGAGATGTTGCCCAAGTGGCTGTCGATGGAAGACCCGGAGCCGGGGGCGGAGGCTGGCTAGCCACTTGCTGAGCCATGAGCTGGCGCCTCTGATCTGCTTCATAGGCTTCCTTGTTGCGTTGTTGCTCCGCCTCGATTTCCTGTATCTCCTTGAGGGTGAGAGAGGGCTGCCTCACTTCATTATCCTTGTTCGCCCAAGGAGCAACAGAAGCACTCATATGAGGGGTTTCATTCGAAGGGCTACGAGTCATAGAACTAGAGCAAATGTTGACGATAGTAGATTGGGAACTAGCCGGGGGAGGGAAAGGTTGAAGGGGAGCGGAGTGGGAATCTTGCCACTCGCTGCCAGATGTAGTTTGAGCTTGTACAGGACGAGGAGAAGTCTTTGCTGAAGGCGTCGCCTTGGGAATCGAAACCTTTGGCTGCTCAGGAGCTTGTGGCTGAACCTGTGGCTTGACGGTTTCAGGCGCGATGCCCCAGGAGGAGCTTTCCAAGTTTGGGGAAGGCTCCTCGTCGCGCTGAACAGGTGCAATCCCGCCACGTTCCTGAGTCTGCTGCGGGGATCTCCCGCCTTCCCTTTCGCTATGGTGAGCCTCGTAAGACTGGACGTGCTGCTGAGCCTGTGCGACAGCCGCCACTGCCTGTTGTTGAGCCTGTTGAAGTTCTTGCTGTTTCTCAACATGCTGATGCTGTGTTTGGTATGCTTTCTGGGTCTGCTGGCGTTGCATTTCGAGGATTCTCTGCTGCTGTTCCATCTGTAAGCGATCGGCCTGAACCTGCTGCTGCTGCTGCTGTTGGGCAAGTTGGCTGTTCTGTTGGAGCTGCTGTCCGGCCATACCGGGCATGCCATGTCCACCGCCAGCCCCGAAAGCATCAGGGCCTCCGGCGGCTGCACCGGCCTGCCTCAATAATACGCCCGGTTCGAATGAATTCTGCCCACCGATCCCGACCGTAGTTGCGGCGGCGGCGGGGGTCACGAACCCGCCGGGACTTTGCAGGCTTCCCTGCAAACTCCCAAAGCTAGGTTGAGAGTGGAGACTTTGTTGAGAGTGTTGGTGCTGCAGGGCGTGCTGGGCTTTTGCAAAGACCTGTTGCTGAACCAGGTACTCCCGCTGCCTAGCCAAAAGATATTGCTCCTCCTGCTTTCTTCTCTCCAGCGCATTTTGTTGGTCAGCAGTGAGGGTCGTTCCGAAGCTTGGGAAACTTCCGGCAAACGGAGGCTGAACTGTGCCGCCGGTCTGAGGCGGCTGTTGATTCTCGCTCAACCAGGAAGAGGAAACAGCGACCCCAGGCCAAGTGTTAGGTTGAGATGTGGCGGGCTGCACAAGAGCGGAATTTGCCGGAGCCTGAAGTGGGACCAGGAAGGGCTCACGCGTGTTCCCTATTCTGCGCACCAGATTGCCCAATTGCTCAAACTCAGGATCTTCCACCCTCTTTACAGCCAGATCTTGAGTGAAGAACCCGGCCTTGTACCAATCATGCATTTCCAAGCCAGAGAAAGGACCCTGAACGGTCCCACTAGGATCGCGGTAGGTCCATTGTATCTTATCCGGCATGACCATTACGTGTTGCTGCGGTGCGACGGTCCCAGGGGGGGGGCGAATTTGTGGGGGTTGTTGAGCAGCCGGCGGTGGTGCCGGTTGAACTGACTGATTCTGGTGAAGACTATGGATACCGGGTAATGGGTCATCGCGCTCCCTAGGGAACAAGGTATTTTCTCCGGAAGCAGCCGCTCCAAGGTTACCAACACTCCTAGTGGTATGCAGGTTGAAAATGTCCATGACACCCGGCCTCTCTCTCATAGGGCTATCCACGGCACTACCAAACCCACTTCTGCCGCTGCCGAACGCACCGCCGAACCTCATATCGCCGAAAGCGTCATTCGATTCGAACCCGCCTTGTTGCTGTTGCTGCGGTTGTTGCTCTTCCTCCACCTGCGGCTCCTGTTGGAACAGTTGTCCAAGCCGGCTCGCACGACTTGCCGACCCGAATCCCCCACCTCCAATACCTCCCATTCCACCAATTCCGCCGCCACCACCACCACTACCAATGGCGTTCGGACTGTTCAAATCGCCGAGCATACTACCGCCGAAAAATGAACCCGGGGCGGTATTGTTTCCAAGCCCAGAAGGCACGGGAGACCCTCCCCACAAAGTGCCACTGCTCAGGGAGCTGAAAGATGCAAGACCGCTACCGATACCACCAGCCAACCCGGCGGTAGAGCTTCGACCGCTTCTATCACTACCGGGAGCACCCACATCACCCCTTCTGAAGCCTCCGATAATACCTCCACTGCCACCATTTTCCGGCATATCCTCATCGTCCGCCTTTTCAGGGGCAGGGCTCTGATAAGGGTTAGTTTCGGTCGGACTTAACGGCTCGTACTCATGCAGACCACCAATGACCCCGCCGATACTACCCTCCCTTGGTCTCCCATGTAGCGGAAAGTGACCTTGCTGATTTAACTGCAAATTCTGGAGCTGTTGATGCAAACCGCCAACATTACTGCCGTCGCGCGTTGTGCCTATGCCAGAGAAACCGAGATCGTTACGGACCTTGGTGGGGGTGGAAATGGAATTGCCTTGCCGGGTTTGAGTATTACCCGTCGTGTTGAAAGAATTATCCTCCTTCATGCGCTGCTCGAGACCAGGAGTCGGGAGCGGAGAATGTTGTGGTTGCTGCTGCTCTTGCCGCTGCTCATCATCCCTATCTCCACCAAGACCAAATGGATCAGTGTCCGAACTCATGGGCCGCTCACGTTCGTGCTCCTCACGCAACTCATTTGTGTCGGGGGAGCGGGGTCTCTGGGCGTCTTCAGCTCGTTCGTCCCCTTCCTCAACTTTAGGCTGCGCCGTTGAACCCTTCTGCACCGTGTTACCAGCACCACCACCACTTGCTTTCGGCTTCTCCAAAGAAGCGCTCTGCAGGGAAAACCCGCCCATCGCGCCACCAAATACGCCATTTCCGAACGTGCCCATCGGACTGTTCAACGCGCTACTCGCGAACCCACCTCCGCCACTGCTCCCACCAGATCCCCAAGCCGTGCTGCCTCTCCTAAACAACCCGGAACCCCTTCCGGAACCATCTTCTAATTTCTCCCTGCCATGATCGTCATCCCCGGCATGACCGGTTGTGCCAGAAGCGCTGCCCCAGCGTCCAAATAAGGTCCTATCCCGGCCACCACCTTCCCGAGTTTGGTCTTCATCCCTCAACTCTGTCCTGCGCCTCGGCAGTTGAGGGGGAGCGGAGCTAAAAGGAGAATTGGTGAGGGCAGCATCAGAAGTTTCACGGCGTCGATTTGTCGGGCGATTGGCGCCGGCGGTGCTCGTGCCGGGAGGGGCGGGAATCTTATTCCTATTCAGCGGGGGCGTATGATTGGTATTGTGATGGCTGGCTGCTCCCGGATTATTTTGATTCGGGGGTGCCTTATGGGGAGAGTTTACGTTGGAGGCAAACAACTAGTCACATCCACGTCAGTATATATATAGAAAAATACAACCAGGTAACTACTCAAAGGCATGAAACCCCGCGGAGACCGTAGAAATAGTCAATGATATACCTCTCTCTCTTCCTCACTCATATCCTCCAGACTAACGGGCTTCAATCCTCCCTCCTTATCCCAGCAAACCTCTGCGCCGCCAGCTTCATCGCCACTCCTACCCCAACCACCACCACCACCGCCACCGCTGCCACCAGCCGAACCCAAATCTCCGAGCACCAAATCCTTCACTTCCCGTAAAGTGCCATTCTGCTCCTGTGCCCTGAAGATGTTCAGCAAGTCCTCCTTACCATAAGAAGTGCTGGCGGGATTTCCAGCACCGCTCCTATTGAAATGATGTGGCGGGTGATAGACATTCGAAGCGGATGGAGTTAAGGGAGGCTGAGAGTGCTGTGAGGTAGGAGGATGAGTGAGGGTAGTGGAAAGTGAGGGACGACGGTGGGAGGGGTTAGACGTGCCGTTAGCACGACGAGACCTAGGAACAAAGGTTAGATCGCTCGAAGACATGGTGTTTGCTTCAAAAGCCAAGTCCGATATGCAATGGTGGGTGTATCGGGGGAGAGTGGAAGAGGGATAAGATGAAAAGATGAAAGCGGTAATGGGTGGCGGGAGAGAAGGAGATGAGGTATGACGACGGAAAATGCTCCGCCTAGTCCCTTGATTCGACAAAACGGAGCACCTCAGAAGGCTGAAGATCTCGCCGGATGACGACAAAAATTTGCAGGGGGAGGCAAGGATGCGTCGAACTTGGGGAGGAAGGGGAAAAAGGAAAAGAGAAAAAGAGTACATATGCTCGAATAGGGAAGGCGGGCGTAATATGTTTTTTTTTGTTTTTTTTCAGTGAGAATGTGTGAAGGGAAGGCCTTAATTTTCATTTTTTCCCCGTTCCCCTGCACGAACGCAGGGAGAGGGGGGAAGACGCGAGGGGCAGTCGGAACGCAGCATTGAAACGGCCCACCACAACAACAAAGGGGAGGGCAAATATGTCAAGAACGGGTAAAGGAAGGGAGGGAGAGAAGGATGGACGTAAAGGGTAAAAAAGACTGAGAATAGAAATAAAATAAATGGAATAAAGACGCTGCAATGAGGGCTCTCACCAATCACCCGATCCTCCTCCTCCTCCTCCTCCTCCCCCCCCCTCCCCCACTGCCTCCACCTCCCGGGGTCGAAGAATTGGCAGAAGTGGTGGTAGTGCTGTCTTTTCCGCCGCCGCCGGCAGTTGTAGAGAACGAAGGTGCGAAATGAGATGATGTAGACATGGTTTGTTTCTCTTTGCGTTGAAAGATTGTCGATTTAACAGTGCGTCGAGTCTCTTTGGAGAGTCGGTAGGCAAGAGGTGTGTGTGTGTGTGTACTTGTGTGGAAGTGTGTTTGATGGCTAGAAGCTTGGAGAATGAGTGAGATTAGTGGACGGAAGAACAAGATTGTAGGGACGCGATGGATAGGCGGGTGGAGGGATGAACGGACAGATGTGGTGACAATTGTGATGACCGGTGAAAGTGGTTGTTGTTATTTTTTTTTTGCTTTTTGCTTTTTCTTTTCTTTTCTTTTCCCTCTCTTCTCCTTTCTCCTTTGGTGGTGGCGGGATTGGGATTGGGATTGGGATTGGATGATACGGGATGGGATAGTGAAATCTTTGTGTTTAGCTGGACGGAGAGATTCAGTATAGTGGACAGACAGAGTATCGGAGGGAGGGGGGGAAACTCACTGGACAGGTGGATCCGGTCCGGTTTGCCTTCTGCTTCCGTGTATTCTGTTCAGAATTTGGGGGTTCGAGAAGGGCAGCAGGTCAGGCAAAAAGGAAAAAGTGCAAGGGTGACTGACCTGAGCAACGGTTCGCAAACTTGGAGGTCCTTTGTGCAGCGGGAGCATAATGGGTAAATAACGTTAAATTGGTCCACAAATTGCCCCATTTAGACGCATTTATCGTGTTTAAATCTGATCGCTAACCAATTCCAGCGCTATTAGCCCCCACAGAGGCCGCTGAAGTCATGCAGAGAAGCACACATTCAAATTTATTTCAAACTCCCATCAGCCATTGGATGGAGAGTTTATATTCCTACCAACCAATGATAACTCGCACCATAAAAAAATATGCAGACCTACTCTTTGAGTCCTTCAATCGGGGATGGACAGGAAGCATGAGGAACCGGTCAACATTCTTTTCCCCCCGCCATATCCTCCACAGCAGACTGCAGTCCGTGATACTCGAGTATGCCGGTCCGCTATACAGCTCTTGTCCGCTGTAGACTACCCTACGAGTACATACCGTACTCTCTCAGTCACCCCCCCCCCAAAGAAAAAAGTGTGTTGCCTCCTACCGTACTCGTGATTCTCAGCCAAGATTTGGCACCTCATCTGTCCTAGCTCGGGACACCAGCTCTTTTCCACCAAAGGGGAATAGTTTCTTAGTAGTGTGGAACAAGCGCAGAGGCCCAACCCTTGGAGGGAATAGTTGGTGAATGGAGTTGCCACAAATTCACTGAAGTTCACAGGTATCCAGATCACAGCATGTGCTGTTATGCTCTGAAGAGTTAGATTCCCATACTCACTTCACATTACTGGTAGGCTATGCCCCTTCAGTAGAGAAGAATTTGTGCCAACCACTAGGGAAATTGGCATGCCAAATCTTGGCTGAGAAGCACGAGTACAGTACAGTAGAGAGACTGGATGACTAAGCCGGATAATCACACCTAACCCATAATATGAATGAAATCATCGGACAACAGGCAAGCAAGAAGGGGGAAACCCTACCCTACTATATTTTGCCCACTGATCGACAGCAACGGCACCCTGTCGCATCGCTCAACCCCTCTCCCATTCCCGAACCCGTCACATGGGCGCACGTGAAGACGTGAATGCGGCCTTCCCGGAGTTTTGTCTCAAACCAGCCCAGGAGGCTGACGCTTTTATTCCTTCGAGGCGTAGCTCTCACCTGCCGTCCCGTGCCCGCACGCCGACACCACCCAAACCCCATCCATTGCCTCGCCTGCGGGGAAACGTTCGGCAGCTTGATCAGCCGTGACGCAGTATTGCTTGTCCGTGTAACGGGGGGACCGATGCTCGCGGGGCCTTGCGCGTGGCGAGATTCTTTGCCGCTCGCTCTGGCTCGTCGCCTGGAGAAACGTTTTTTTTGGGTTGGATGCAGTTGGTTGGTGGGTGTTTATTTGGTTGGCTGGCCATGTCTCCGGGGCGTCCCACAAGTTGATTTGACGCGATAGGACTTTCCGTCCCAGCCGATTCCTCTGCTTACCGCTATCGGGTCAGCACCACTCTGGCGTTTAGGCCGCCATCGCTGGCTGTCACGCCTCGTCAGGAGGCCAGTCTGATATGCCGGTATGATAGTAGCCCCATGGACCCGGGCAATAAGATCATCGTCTATCACTCGAGAACCCTAATTTTGCATGTGACAACGGATCCCAGGGTGGAGATATGGCGATGCACGCATTATTCGACGTGCCCTAGCCGAGTACCCCATGAGAAAATCGAGCTTACATTCCTGGAGCAAGTCTTATCATTATGACCCGATATGGTGCCCCTCGAACCAGCTCCCGGAGCGTGTGCTGTATATACTCTTGAAATCCACCGTGTCCGCCAATAATAAGTTTGCGAAATAAGCTTTATCCCAACTACCCCTGTCGCCGTTGGGCACGTGGATGGTCCATGGGTGTATTGCGACAAGGTGCGTCGACAAGTTTTGCGATGCGGCCAAATCCTCACTATCCCGCATCCACCTACTGTACCTACCCTTTTGATCTATAGGGATCATCAAGGGAGGGGGATGACACTAAGTGTCACTAACCGCGACGCGGCGCCGGGGAGACAATTTTAGTCCCCCGGGCCCCGGAGATATAATAGCGCTATGGGAGCAAGAGTCCGGAAAGCTAGGATGCCCCTGGACTGCGCGTCTAGCCCGGCGAAGGGGAATATCCGTGTCTAAGAAAAAGTAACCAGCACCTAGAATTCAACTTATGTTTTCTTCGAAAAAGAAGGGAGAAAGTGGCATTACCCATTATCTGCGGAGGGGCCCCCTTTTTCTGCTATCTATACTCATACTCGAGTCCTGTACCCCTTTCGCGCATTTCTGAGCCCTTCCCAAAGGAACCCAATCCAAACACCTCCTTCAGGACCACACGAAAGTCTCACCACCACAGCTAACATCAAATGATAACCGGATACCGTACTGGTGGAAAAACTGTTCCAACCGCAACAGCCCCCCCCCCCAGATCACCCCCGTATTGATCGCTTCTAAAAGAGGCCGACGGTTGAATATATACACTATGCTAACCTCTACACAGCGTAGCCAAACTTACCGAACGTTTACCATAACCTCCTTCCACCAGAACCGTGCCGCACTAAACTACCCGCCTCATAGACACAGGATCGCCGGCTATAGAGAGCACTCATTGCTCCTTCCCTTCAATCTCGCAAATGATGTCATGTGCACTGCCCCATCCTTGCTTAAAGTCACACATTTCATCTGCGCACGTACCGGACCGGACCGTACGGTGCGGTACAGCACCGTACCTGCTCCGACAATTCGTCCTGAACGCTACGGCGCAACTAGGCGCGCACACCAAAATGACGAGCAAACACTTGCCATATGCACTTACCCGCTGTGTTAAACCGCTCATCCACTCACCGACAACAAGTAACCCAAAATCCCCTTCCCTCTCCCCCTTCCCCTCTCCCTCTCCCTCTCCCTCTCCCTCTCCCCCTTCTCTTACTGGCGCCAAACCTCAATGGCAACGCAATCCCAATCCGCCACGACCGCAATCCTCCTCTCCATCTTCCTGACCATCACGGTCGTGGCGGGAATCCTGATAACTTGGTACCACGGCATCTTCTGTTTCGCCACTCGCCGTGGACGGCGGGCGAGGGGGGCTGCTGCTCGGGATTGGGGGTGGAGGGATCGGGAGACTCGGAGGTCCGCGCAAGAGCGTCGTTATGATGGGTGGGGTCCGGGGAGGGGACGGGGGTTTGGACATGGATATGGATACGGAGGTGGACATCGCGATGGGAGACTTATGGGAATTGCGAGACCGGACAGGGTGTATTCCCCGGTAGGGAGGTCCTTGTGGAGGGGGGGCTATTGAGCGTATGCGGTATTGCGGATGCTCTTTGTCGGTAGGGAGGGGTATATTGGGAGTTATCATGTGATATCGCTCGCTATGATCTTAGATGATGCTCCAGGTGCGCCCAAAGCGGTAGCTTGAAGCCTTAAAGAGACTCTTGGATCCAGGTTTGGCTCCGTGACCAGACGTTCCGTATGCCCTCGGAAGATATCTTTTCACCAAGTAGAAGAACCTCGCAAAACCCACAAAGGGCAGCTTTTCACACACCAAGCCAACTTGATCTCGTACAAGGTAATCATGGCCCTCGCTGCATACTAGAACTAGACCATTTGGGTAATCGCGACAGGAAAAGCGTTCTGCTTCCACTAGTATAAATTTAAGAAATTAAGTTCTGCTTTAGAGGTGCAGTGCTCAGAATACCGGTAGCCTCGTTTGACCTCAGATCTTTCCAGTGTATGAAATAACCTCCAGGGTATGTGTGGTGCCGGCACCTTAGAATCAACTTTCACAAGAACCAAAATTTCCCAACTTTTCGACAAACAACATCGCATGCCATTATTCCACTTATTCCTTCTGTACCATGATCGTAAATCATGTAAGGAAAACATTTGCAGAGTAGATTTCATTCTAGAAGGGTGGTTTCCTTCTGAACTTGTAATGGCTCTTAAAATTGAGGCGAAATTTGGGTTGAGCCGGGGGGTTGGCACTTGTATATAGAAAAAAAAAAGGTTTGGCTGAGTAATATTGCTAATATATTGTCTAAGATTGTAAGGTTATATACTGTATTAGAACTAGTATACTGTACTGACTCTGGATGGCACTGGGGGACGATTCTAAGGTGCTACCGGTAGCACCATACCGGTTTCGAGGGCTGGATTGGTACTCTCCCCTCCTTCGGATGGTGTGGTGACCGTGCCTATCCCCTGTGGGTTTCCCTGAGAAGATGATAGCTCTAAAGTGGAAAATAGGTGGATAGGAAATTCCCGTGATGCAATGCTGTGTAACCCCAGATAGCAGAAGAGGAAAAAGAGGATGAATGGTGATTCGATTCCGAGTGGAGTGTGTGTCCTATCTATGTGCTACATAGGGTGGTGGGAACCGAAGTTACACTTATCCCCACCAAGAACTGCATACCTAGCCCCACCCTTAACCTGAACACTCTCCTAAGAACCCTCTCTGATACAGCCACGATGCCTCTAAACAAGTCCCTCATCCACACCGGTATATTATATCAAAAAAGCGAATGGGAGGAACATCTAATCTATTGTGCCGCTCTTAGCTTTCCTCCGGTACCAAGGGACAGGCGTCTCCGAACGCCTTCCTAAAATGCCCCCCTCAAATCAGAAACGAGGTCACCTGCACTCCCGCTCCCTCAACTACAGCGATATTTGCCAAGCTGGCCTTCCGAAGAGCCAGACTTGTGGCCTTTCTTACCAGCGCCGCCAGATCAGCGCCGCTAACACAATATTAGTAACAGTGTTCCCAAGCGTCCAGTCCGTCCGTCCTTGGCTTCGGACGGGACGGACACCGGTTTCTGGAACTCTGCCCTGGACGGACGCCCATCCTGTGCTCCGTCCTAACCACTACCCGGGGCGACCGGCCGGGCCCTATAGGTGTCTCACCTGCAAATGGCCCTGCAGATGAGAGCCGGGCCCTGCGAATGACGGCCGGGCCCTATAGATGACGGCCGGACCCTGCAGATGACGGCCGGGCCCTATAGATGATGGCCGGGTCCTGCGAATGACGGTCGGGCCCTGCAGATGACGGCCGGGCCCTGGTGAGGACGGCCGGAAGATGCTATTTGTATTAAGACTCCCGGGCCCAGGCGTCAACCCCTCGCACGGCGGTCTTTATCAAAGACGGACGCCATGCCCTGCCGTCCTTACCCACCCTGCCCGGGACGCCCGGGACTACAAGCCCGCCAGGGCCCTGTAGGGCGCCCGGGACGGTTGGGAACACAATATCAGTATGGAAGAAGGAAGGTGTGTTGAGCAAGACTGACCTGAAATTTTCACACCTGTCACCCTCTGTAGGAGCCCTTAAATCGACGTTAAAGAGCAGTATCTTTTTTTGTGAGGATTTTCAGGATCTCTAATCTTCCCTCGGCATTTGGAAGGTCCACAAACAAAAGCTATCCAACCTTCCTGGCTTGAGTATTGCTGGATCAATGAAGTCTGGTCTATTAGTTGCCGCAATGATATAGATTCCCTTGTAATCATTGAGGCCATCCAATTCAGTTAGAAGAGTATTGACTAGACGAGAAGAGGATTCTGAGGAGCTATCATCGTGGCAAGGATCCAGAGCACCCAACTCATCAAAAAGATAACACACGGAATGGAAGCTCGGGCGAGTGAGAAAACATGACGGACAGCCCACTCTAGTTCTCCGAAGTACTATGGTGGCAGTCAGTAGATAGCTTTACGATTGTGGGATTTTGAAATAAAAATTGAAACCTCATCAATAAATTCCGGACTCCGGATGTTGATGAAATTTGCCCCGCTCTCATTTGCAACGGCTTTTGCCAGCAAGGTCTTACCACAACCTGGAGGGCCCCAAAGAAGTACTCCAGACGGTGCAGTGAGCCCCACACTAGCAAAAAAGTTCCCGCTTCTTGATTGGCAGCACAATGGCCATCTGCAATTCAGCCTTGTGTGGCTCCAGGCCCCCAACATCTGCCCAGGTAACATCAGGGACTGTTACAAAACCCTCTCTCCTAGCTAAAGATTGGGTTTTCGTAAGGGCAGTTGAAAAATCCGGAAACGTTATATAGAGTGGATCCGGTTGCTTTTCGGTAAGTTGATCTGGGTATGCTTTAAGAGAGCATTGAATTGAGCTCTGAGACCCTGACTGGGCGATGGTTGTTACCTCCAAAGGGTCAGTAGCGGCTGGTGGGTTTTCAAGGATTTCGTAGATTCGTCTCGTTGCTACCATGCTGGCCTCTCTTACCAAAGCACTTAGATCAGCTCCAACGAACCCGGCAGTTGCCTTGGCCAATTTTTTGAAGTCAAACCCCCCTATTAACCTCAACTTCTCACATAGTATCCTCAAGATCCTGTTAGACATGATATAATTAGTAAATTAGTACATACTTGGGAAGTTGGTATCAGGGGTAATCTGGGGTAGCACTTCTCTCTTCCAACTTCGTCCGGCACACCAAGGTAAGTTTCCTTATCAAATCTTCCAGCTCTTCTCAATGCTGGATCTAGGCTGTCGGGTCGGTTTGTTGCGCCAATGATTATGACAGGTTTCCCACCAGTCTTCTCCAATGTGAGATCGTCCATACAGGTCAACATCTGGGCAACAATTCTCCTCTCCATATCCCGCTGGGTGTTCTCCCTCTTCTGTGTTATAGCATCTATTTCATCAATAAACATTAAGCAAGGAGCTATTTCCCGTGCTTCCTCAAAAAGTTTCCTTAGCTTCATTTCCGGTTCTCCGGGTACCCCCGACACGATTGAGGGTGCAGAAAAGGCAATGAACGGTAGCCCTAACTCTCTAGCGATAGCGTTTGCTAGCATAGTTTTACCACAGCCAGGTGGTCCATGGAGAAGTACACCGTGAGGCAAGTCCACTCCAGTATGAAGGTAAAGCTCTGGGTGAGTTAGAGGCACGGCCACAAACTCCAAAAGATCTTTGATGACCTCTTCTCTGCCACCAATGTCCTGCAGGGAGATGTTTCTGGGTGGCTCGAGGGTTGTTTTGTTTCTGACGCTTTACTAATTCTCCATCTTTGACCAGCTGGCGTTCTTTTCGTTTTCGGGGTGCCGGCGATGCCATTATAGTATTGCCGGCTACTCGCTTATTGATCGTATCTGACTCCTGGTGGAGGCTTGAGTGTTAGTATAATTTAAATTCTGAAATGGAGTTGTAGGGTGTTTGTGTCGCTACCTTTAGCCAACCTATAATTATAGGGAAGAGAAAAAAGTTTTTGCAGTGTGCTGTGGCAGATCCGTCTGGAGAGAAAGAGAAGCGGGCTATCTCCACCCTGAACCAGTTTTGAATAATTAGGGAGGTAAGGGAAGGGAAATAAATAAATTTGCGAAGCAAGTAAAAATATGTCAAGTCTTGATTGACCTGCTGTTTGATCACAAGGGAAAACACCCTTCCTTTATACCCCCTGAATCGTAAGTATTCGTAACAGTTTCCCCAGCACCGCAATCCTCCACGAAATGATGCACAATTACGTCTCCGCAACTGCAAAGACGATTATGTCCCCAATAGTACGTAGTTGACGGTGCAAACGTCGTCAATTAACTTTTTTCAGTGAATTATTCGTGTATGGTCATGTGAAATAGGAGGAGCGAATTTGGCCTCTGCCCTCTTCTGCTAATCTCCTCATATGTGTGCAGATTACACAGCTTTTTAGCACGGCTAATGACTTCGTTTGACCTCAGATCTTTCTGAATGATACTCGCAATTATCTGACGTTTGCGACCACCCAGGGTCCACATTTTCCTCTGATTTTGATGCCTCATTCATGTCCGCTGGCGTCGGGAGACTTTCGGCGGTCAGTATATACTCTATAAATGGGCTACAGATATCTATGAATACCGTATCTCTCTTTTGATGGCTGCAGCTATCTCCCGCAGTTCAGGCCCCGGGCACGTGCCAGTGGTGAGGGGTCAGAAACTTTTTGATAGGCTTAAAGCATTGAAAGTAGCGTATTCTGGGCAATTTCCTATCACCCAAATGTTGCAAAAGGTATACCTCTCAACTCCGCGCACAGTCTGCTCCTTCAATGCAATGAAGCTTCCCTTTAAAGCAATTATCCACTCTGACGATGAATCTTTCGGATGCCATTAGTGTTGTTTTTGTTTGGGTCCCGTTTACCCAAGGAATTGGTTCCGAACTACCCCCGCGGAGGTTGGAGGCCTGATGGAGATTGCGGATGGTCCTAGTAAATATAGGTAGTATGATATTGAATTTTTCGAGTGCCCTCAACACCCGGGGTTGATTTGGTAGCCATCCACGAGGGTATGGGCGGCAGCTATGCGCTGGGTTATAGTGTGGTTGCAGCATCTGGAGGAAGTGGTCATTTGATCGAGAAGATCAAAAAATGGATCCCAAAACACCCCCAAGAGGCACCCAAGGCACCACTTTCGTGTTGGAGTGCCTATCGGGCATGTGAGTTGGTTGTTATACGGATAGATGGTTCATGCTTCTAGGGCTTAGCTGTTGGGTTTCTTGTTGATGATGTTTCCTGTTGCCATAGGGCATTGGTGATGTGGTTTGGTTTCTTTCACGCCTGATGCCTCTAGGCATCTGGTTCTTTGTTAGAGGTTCATGAGAGCTTTAGATTGTTGTGGAGAACGGAGGATCATGGTTCATCAGGATGAGTAGTTCTTCTGTGTTCATGGTGTTTCCTTGAAGTTCCAGAGTTCTGGTTGCTTAGGAGATATATATCTCCCATTCTGTCCTTAGCTAGAGGTGAGGTTTCGACTATCAGTTTTCATCGTTAGATTTCACTATCATCCATTCTTTCATCATCCTTCCTCACTTTCTTGCATTTCGTCGCACTTGTGTTGCTTCATTCACCCGTGCTCTGCATTCACCTTCATCATTTCGGATCCCTATCGTAAAATATCACTCGTTTTGTACACATTGCGATGGGCAAGCTTGTAGAGGCGGGCGCACATCTATGGTAGGGGGGGGGGGGAAGGAGAAAAGAAGGGGAGAAAAACGATCGCTGCATTTCGGAGCACTCTCACACAAAAACACCCCCCCTCCAAAAGTGATGCACCCACGGCCGATGTACCAAATCTCAAACTCCCGTTGTGCGCGTTCACATCGGACAATTACTTCTTCAATCCCAGATCCTCAAAGAAAGCATCGCTGTTAGGCTCCCTTCCCAAGAATTCCTTCAAGGTCTCCATCTCGTCGCGACTGCCACCCTTTTCCAGTACAGTATGTCTATATCGCCTCCCCTGCTCGCCGTCCATGGGCTCCTTCTTGAACGCGGTGTAAAACATATCCGTCGAAAAGACCTGTGACCAGAGGTAGCCGTAGTATCCAGCGTCATAACCGCCCATGAGATGGCCAAAGGTGGCTTCTCCGTGGCCAAAATTCTATTACTCGTCAGTGATGGCTAGTCAATAGCCCAGAGGATTAGTGATCTTACATCTCCGAGACCATTCGGTGGGTCCAAAAGCGCAATCTCGGTTCTCAACTTGTTGTATCGTACCGAAGGTTCAGCCTTGACGGCGTCGTCATGATTCTTATAAGAGTGCATCTCCATATCGAAGAATGCAAAGTGCAGCTGCCTAAGGTTGAACAGCGCATCGTTCACGTGCTTGGTACTGATAATCGCTCTGACCATTTCTTGCGGAATTTTCTTTTCGGTCCGATAGTGGGATGATAGCGAAATGAGCTCGGACTGGGTCCAGCACCAGTTCTCCAGCATCTGGGAAGGAGCTTCAACGAAGTCACGGACAACATTGGTGCCATGGAAGCGGGAGTAATACGTGATGGACACGAGGTCATGGATACCGTGACCAAGTTCGTGGAATAGAGTAACCTGTAGCCTTTAGCCTTTACTATAACAATTAATAGACAAGCCCACCATACCACTTCGTCATGCTTCAATAGCGACGGCTTGTTCGCAGTGGGCTTGGAAAAGTTGCACACAAGAGCTGTTGCCGGATAGCGGCGTTCTCCCTTCTTCCCAGTGAACCCCTGACAAGCCATTAGTATGGACAAACATCGTTTGAACTTGCAAGTCTCACCGGTTGAAGATTGAAATTGGCAGCATGGCCATATTTTCCTTCACGTGGGTGGAGGTCTAGGTACAACCACCCAACAAAGGTTTGCTCACTGCCATCTTTTGGCTTCTCATTGTAAACGCGGAATTGCTTGCAGTCTTCGTGCCAGGTATTCTTTGTCCCATCGGCAACCTCTACGAACTCCAACCCGAAAAGGGACTCAAAGATCTTCATCATTCCTTTGATGGTATGGCCGAGAGGGAAATATTCGGCAATCTTTTGTGCATCAAGCTTGTATTCCTTCTCAAGAAGGAGGCGATCATAGTACCTAGACAGACATTAACACGAAACGATTTCGGGAAGCTCTAGAAACACACCTATGATCCCACAAGTAGTAATGACCGTCATCCACAATTTTTCTATCCTTGTAATCTACCGCCTTCAATCTCTTCAAGCGGCTCTTCTCCTTTTCAGCACCGGGTGCCAGTTTCTGTCTCAAGTCGGTCAAGAAAGCAAGAACCTTTTCGGGGTTTTTAGCCATCTTGGGCTGTAGAATAAACTCGGCATGGTTTTTAAATCCCAACAGCCTAGCCTTCTCATCTCTAAGCTCAATAGCCTTCTTGAACAATTTGCTGTTCTCGTTGCATTTGTTTTCATTTCCAAGGAATACCTTCTTCCTCGTTTCGGGGTTGATGGCATACCTCATAGTTGGGAATAGGTCGGGATACTTGAAGGTCAGGTGCAGTTTACCCTCATTCTCGGTACCGGTCTCGCCCTTGGAGAGCCCAGACAGGACATCCTCAGGAACACCTTTAAGCTCCTCGGGAGTAAACCAGATACCGCCATTCTCTTCGTTTAGACGCTTGGAGAAATCAATTCCCAGAATAGATAATTCCTTCTTAATCTCTTTGAACCGAGCTTTCTCCTTCTCGGCCAACCCAAGACCATTTCTGATATAACTTTCGTAAACCTTCTCGAGAAAACGAGTGGATTCCGCAGCGACATCAACGGCCTTCGACTGCGGCGATTTGTTGACGACCGAAACCAGCTTGTAAATATCCTCCCTCATAGAGGATTCGATTCCGAAATCCTAATGGTTGTCGTCAGCGCTCCCACCACTCGGACAAAAAATAGGGAAAGGCACTCACGTCAAGTAATCTCTCTGCCTCGCTACTTGCATCCCTCAATGCTTTATTAGTGCTAACATACTGATAAAAGCCTAGAATGGCAGTGTCAAGCCCCATCTCGTTCTCATCCTCGGCGAGCGGTTTCAGGACATTCTGAAAGTTGGCAGTCTCGGGGTTAACCTCCTTGGCGATTTTGTCCTGAAGCTCCCGAGATGTAGCGATGAGCCTGTTGGTCTCCTTAATAACCGATTCTGGGGTATGGGTAAACTTTGGGGCCGGGGGAGGCTTCGGGTGTCCGCCGACCATACTGGTGGTGGTGAGTGGTCTTGCAGAGGGTTTTGGGATTAAATGCTGTTTAGGGAATAACCGTAGGATAGCAGCGAGTCGATTGGCAGGAGCCAGCGTGAAGCAAACAAGAAGAAAGAGAAGCAAGGAAAGTAGGAGCTTTTTGACTGATGCCAGGGCGGGCAATGGAGGGAGGGGGGAGGGGAAGAGGGGCGAGGGTGCGGGGAAAATGGAATCTGGTTGGTGGAGATTTGTTTGCGTCTCGATGAGTGCAGATGCTGCGCAGGCGTTGCGCAGGCGTTGCGGGTTGCCTACGGTAACTTAGTTTACCTTCTGCTCTGCCTTGTGCTCCCCCATCCTCCTGCCGATGGCGAGGCTCTGCTGAGCTGGACCACCCACGTAACCCACGCCAATGTCCTCGTAAGTTAGTGAAGGAAAAAGGAGCGATGGGGCGAACGAAAAATTATCGCCAAAATGAAGTGGAGATTTTAAGAGCACGAGAAGAAGGCGGAATAGTTCTCCGGAATTCAAAGATCGTGCCTTGATTCATCACTGGTCTCCTTACTTGTACTTTGCCTGCTACTGTACTACATAATAGTACTGTACTCGAGTACACGCGCCCCAGCGGTGTCTACTCGAGTACCGTAAACTCACCATTCAAAAGTATTGTCCCATACTCCGTTTTCCCGCAAAAGTCAGTATATTCATTAACTGAAACAACGATAAAAGAAAACTATTGAAAACTACTAAAAACCACCAAAAGCAGATATTTATAAGGAGAATCTTTTGCTAATTTTTATTTATTTTATTTATTTATTTTATAGGTTTGGTATTCATTTTTGTATGGTGGTTGATATGGAATGCCAAGCCCTCATACAAATTTGGTAGGCTTTGGTGGGGATTTGCTTTTTATCACACTATGCCTATGTAAACCCAGGTGCAGCTCATCCAAGCACAAAAGTTTTACTATTTTTATTACATGATAGTGTGGTCCTTGTGAAAAGAAACTTGTATAAATTTTTTGTATTTTTTCAGGATACCCTGATATATAGATATGGGCTAGTTAATTGCCCGTGTTTATGCACTTTTTGGTGGGGTTTTAGAAGGTGGGACAATACTTTTGAGAGGTTATTTTACTATGAGATTTGCACGGAAAGGCCTTCTCCGGATCCCGTCGAGCGCCGTTCTGAGTTGGCGGGAGGGTTTGGAGGGATCACCGATTGCTGGTACAGGAGTAACTTACTAGTACAGTACTCGAGTATCATACGGTACAACATTTTGTCTCTCTGTTCGCTCAGGGGCGTCTGACATTTTTTTTGGTTTAGGAAACGGAGTCTTGGCACGTCTCTGCATAGAACCAGAAACCGAGTGATCTTTAGACGGGACGCTGGTATCATACTGTAAGTGTCCTCGGAGAGAGGTTGGTATATCGTAACCATCAAGTGCCTTCCTCCATCTAGCCCCAGGAAAAGATTGCTACGAGCGTTTGCCGTTTCACTGTTCCCGTCTATTTAGATACGGGGTCTCTAACTTGATCCGTAACCGCTTGGACACTGCTCATACCGGACAATAATCTCTCCCCTCCGCCCTCCATCCTCCGACTCCTGGGTGGCATTAAATTGGCTGCTGCCTTCCCGAACCTGCTCGAAAACCCCTTCCGTAATAATCAATTACTGCTTTGTGTCAGAGAATCCCGGGGTTTGTCTCTGTCGCTATCTATCAGGACAGTGCGTGGCTGCTCCGTATCGGGACCGTCCCGTCCAACATGTACGCTGCTCGCTACCCATCAGGATCTATGTGGCTGCCACAAGCTCACGATTAGGAGAGCCTCGCTGAAACCTTGCTTTGTTTGGCCTAATTGTTATCGTACTAGAGAAGGTGTTTCTAAGAATTAGGGTTGGTTTAATTTACTAACTTATTACCCCACTCCATATTATATCCTGAGTATTGGCAACCCACGCACGATATGATTGAGGAATAGGCCATGACAAGAGACGGAAATCGAGGAAAAGAAAGGAGAGTATTTATCACATGCTTTATCCGTCAATCGAATCACCAATGAGAAATAAAAAAAATAAAAAATGAGAAAAACCGCACAATCGCCGCCTGACCTTTTTACCCCCGTCAACATAAAACCCAACACAGAAACTGCCATCATCCTCCTCGAACTCTCTCAAGCAACCAACCTCTCCTCCAGGGCTACAATACTCCTCCCATCCCTCCACTCCAGCAAATTCCCCAACACCCAGTCCATCATCAGCAACTCCCGATGCCTCTCAGCCCTCTCGCTCCCTACGATCCTGTGGACAATCACATCCCTCAACCTCTCCACCCCTTTCCTGGCCTTTCTGAGATCCTTGGCGGCCTTCTCCCTCAGCCACAGATTTCTCCGCTTGACACTCTCGTCCGTCAGTTCCCGCGTGGCGTTAATCAGATGGGAAATCTGTGGGAATATCAACTCTGGGAAGAGGGTTGTTATCTGTGTGACCAGTAATTCCATAGTGTGGTATTGTCTGGCGGGGTTTCCGGTTTCTGGTGGGGAGAGGGATGTGAGGATCTCTGTTACATGTTCAGGCGTCGTCATGTGCTTGAGGAGGGGGGTGAAGGCTTTGCGGGTAAGGCTATAGTAGTAGGTTAATTCCGGGTCGGAGATTGGCATGGGGGAGGGGTCGAAGCGGTCATCGGTCACGATTAGTGGTGGATAGTGGGTGAAGTGGATGGAGGTGAAGCGGTCTCGTCTGGTAGACATTTTTGTTTCTTGGTTGGGTGGGTGAATTGAATTGTGGGGGTTTTCTTTGAGACTTGTGTGAGCAGGCGCTTTTTGGGGTGTGGTGGGATGGTGTCATGGGCGGAAGGATGTAATGGCCTTCGAGGTATTTATTCTGCATCATGAAGATTCTTGAAAGGAGGTGTTTTGTTGGTTGAATATTTGTTATAATACAGGTTCCGAGTGATATGAGGTGAGGAACACTCATCCTGACAAGTTGGAGGTCTGGGTGCTTGTAACACAGTTGGTTAATGTTTTTTCCTGCCCTGTTCTTATTTCAAGAGTTGAACTTGGGAGATTCGGATACCTCGGGCCGGGCAGGTGAGGCTACTAACCGAGCAGTTTACACGGCGAAACCTTGCCCGTCCCGGTTGCGGAAGCAAGCTTGAAAGGCGAGAGATGGGTATTCACGCATTCCCGACCTCAGAAAAATGACGGCTGTCCAACGGCGGGTGTGTCACCCTACCCATAGAGTTCTCGCTGATGAGAGGTACTTGGACAAGACTTTGTTTGCGGCGGAAGTGCCGGTATCATTACCTGTACTGTACGATTCTGTATGTCTTTCCCAACCTCGGATATCCGAACGATTCCAGAACCACAAGAGTTCCGTGGCTAGTGTGCAGGTAAGTATTGGCCTTTGGTATTATACGGTGAGCTTTCACTGCGCTTGCTAAGCTCGTCTATGGAAGGCGGTCGCAGTGTTACGTCCCGTACGGTAGGACTGTGATATCTATCATGGAGAGTCACACGCTACTCGTAGCCTTTTCAATGTTGATAATGGGAAATGATGGATAGGGACGTTATAGGAGACAGAGTTCTTGGCCTACATGTCATATAACAGGAGAAATACGGTAGGTGGCTAACAAATGGATGGAACGGAGAGGATTGGGGCCTGAATTTCAGTTCCCCACTAGAGCGCAAGCCATCATATAGGCACTAAGTGGGGCAGGCAAGAAAAGCAATACAGGAAACATTTGTGGGAGGTGAACTTGACAAGTACTAGTACTCGTACATGACTTATTAAAGATTTCCGGGATATCAAAGTTACAAGAACCGGGTCCAAAGGAACACCCACGAGCCACTCGAAACTAGTATTATTATTTTTTCAGTAAGATTTTATTAAACACTCTCATGGCAGGGTTGAAGCCAGTCACTTTTTATGGGATTACCGCATGCGGGTAACTAGATCCGACTCTACGGTGGGTACTGCGAGTTCATCATCTTTGACACCGGAAGGTCCCCCAATGGGTAAATAAGCTTGCCCTTCCTCCGTGGTTGATAGCAGGAGCTGCGCCTCAGAAGCAGTGCACACGATGATTTGCTATTTGTGGGTACCCGGTTTCTTACCATGGGATACAGTGACTTTCCTGGGACAGATGGGACCTTTGGGGTCGAGGCGTTTAGCACCGTTGGGGGTAAAAACAAACAAACAAAACGAAAAACAGCGATTAATCTTAGAATCTGGTAGGAATGCTTCTAGGAAGGGAAAGGAGCACTTGCAATTCGAACCCCCTGTTCTTCCCGTCGCTGACCCAGAGTGGGGTACTGTAAATTACAAGCACTCGCACCGGTACTGTACAACTGAGTTTAAGTTCGTTGAGTTATTTTTTTCTTGGGATCGCGATTAGAAAGCTGCATTCCTTCAAAAGTGATATCGGATCTGAGAACTGCTCGAGTACTTCGCTTAATCAGGAACTTCGGGCGTCAGGAGCGGATCGGGGATAGAGAGGCGTTACTGGAGGAGCCATGCCTCATCAGGTAAACATGTTTCGTCTCTGAATGCGAAAAATTGGCCCGACGGAGATGGTGGATGATAAGGGTTTTTACGGTGTCGAGTTGCTCATTAACTCAGCTATAAGTTAGGTGCTAATTAGACTACCGTATCGTCTTCAGGAGTTGTCACTCTTGCATGGCAAAAGCTCTGCAACAGGTGAGCTTATGTCCGATATGTGTACGAGTACAGTACAGTACGCTTGTCAAAAATCCCGATCTGATCATCTGATATTCCGCCCAACCTGATCTCTCCCTCGCATCCCAACATCTACCTCCAGACAAGGATCTTGGCCGGCCGGGCGGAAGGGAGGGGAGGGAGAAGAACAAAACAGACTCGACAAATGTCTGTGACTTGGTCAGAATAATAAGAGAGCTTCCTGAAAGATCCAAATTTACCCAAGGGGACCGAGGTCTCGAGGGGGCGATGCTGGTTACTCGAGAATTCCTGTGCTGCGATGCATCTGCAATTTCTGTTCGGTTAAGTCGGCCCGCCACTTGGCAGGGAAAACAAGCTTCAGCGGAGGCTTTTACCGGATGAACTTAGCTCCCCGTATGCGCGTATTAAAGCTCCTGCAGTGGAGACTGGGACCTGTACGGTACGAGTACTCGTGCTGTGCTCCTACTCGAGTACCTGTAGGGAAAACGCGCATCTCTCCCCTCACCACACCATTCCGCCATCACTCGTGGCACAGGATTGCCCCGCTTCTCCGCAACTCCCCGTGCTGGAGTTGGGATGGAGAGTACGAGTACCGGTAAAGATCTTCCTCTTCTGCCCTTCGGTTTGCTCTCCGGATGCTATTTGTTGGCGTCTTGTCAGCTTATCGACCTTCCCGTCGAGTTTGGAGCGCGGTTTATCTCATTCAACATCATACCCCCACAACAGGCGGCTGCACCGTCATTTCTGTACCGGTACTACTCGTACCTCGGACTGATAATCCTTTCCCCGATTCTGCGGGGGAAGGGCCGGTACCTTCGTCATTGTTAGGAACCGGTATCGTGGATGAGTAAATTATGAAAAGGGTAGTACATGCAAACGAATACGTCACCCGATACGGGGCCCGCTGTGTTGCTAGGAGCAGAATGGCTTTCCTCAAGCATCGAGAGCACTGTGCTCGAGCACGGTGGACTGTGGAAACTTACCCCGCATCGGCCTTGTAGCGGATTGATGTGGTGACATTTGGAAGGAGGGGGGGCCCGCTATCACCCCGGTTCCCCCGGATATTGAACCCTCCGCTGAAGGGTCGAGATGCCCCCCAGTGTTGGCCGGGTCAGGGCCCCACAGATCAGAGAACGCCTGGGGAAGGAAATCACATAAATCCGGACTCTCCCCGGTGTTCCCTTCCACACCTACGCTTCCTGATCTGTCCCTCGGCCAACCAGTCAAAGGATAGAAGCCATGCCCCGACCGAGTGCAGGACAGTATGCGGCCACCCGCATCAGTACTCTCAAACCACCGGGGAACATACCTCCCAACCCGATTACTGTCCTTCGCCAGTTGAACCGGAGACAGTGGCAGTTTTTCCTGGTTGCTTTTGCAGGGTGGACATGGTATATCACCCCTGCGGTTCGTTGAAATATGAAAATAATTGATGTATCAGGGACGCGTTCGACTTTTTCACAGTATCTTTGACCATCACGCCACTCGCGAAAGCGTTCGACAGGTCCAAGGCCGACATCACATGGGGTATAACTTTGGTATTGATGTTGCGAAGTGTCGGCGCCATATCCTTCGGTATTGCTGCCGACAAGTGGGGAAGGAAATGGCCTTTTATAATTAATAACGTTTTGTTTATCGTTCTAGAAATGGCAACCGGTTTCTGCAATACGTTGGTCGCCCGGCCCCCCGTTTGGTGGCTTGAGCTAACGGTTTCTAAGCTACGAGCAGTTTCTGGGAGTTCGTGCCCTATTCGGCATTGCCATGGGTGGATTGTATGGTAATTGCGCTGCAACTGCTCTTGAGGATGCACCCAGCGAAGCTCGTGGCATACTATCGGGTATGTTACAACAGGGTTATTCTTTTGGCTATCTTCTCGCCACAGTCTTCTCTCGTGCGTTTGTCGACACAACGCCTCATGGGTGGAGGCCCTTGTTCTGGTTTGGGGCAGGCCCTCCAGTCCTGATTATTGCTTTCCGGTTATTTCTCCCGGAGACAAACAGCTTTCTTGAACGACAGGCCATGAGGAGAGAACGCTACGAAGGCGTAGATAGTATCCAAAGGGTTGTCTGGAAAGAGGCGAAGGTAGGGTTCAAGAAGCATTGGCTCCTTTTGAGCTATCTTGTCCTAATGATGGCTGGCTTCAACTTTATGGTATCCGATTCTTCTCGCCTCTGATTGAGACCAAGGCTTACATGACTCAGTCCCATGGCTCCCAAGACCTTTACCCAACAATGTTGGAAAACCAGCTTGAATTCTCAAAAAACAAGATCACCGTTACTCAAGTTGTCGCGAACCTCGGGGCAATGCTGGGCGGAACCACAGTTGGTTACCTCTCGCAAATGTTTGGTCGAAGGTTGAGCATAATCGTCGTTTGCATCGCCGGTGGTGCCCTCATATACCCATACTGCTTCATTCGGAATAATGGGGTAATCGCCGCAGCATTCTGGGAGCAATTTTTCGTGCAGGGGGTAAGCACCGCCCTGGTTTCTTTCCGAGGGGTGGGACTAATTTTTGCAGGCATGGGGCGTCGTCCCAATCCATCTCGTCGAACTCTCACCCTCAGGAGCACGCACTACTATCGTCGGAACAGCCTACCAACTTGGAAACCTTGCCTCCTCTGCATCATCCACCATCGAGGCCACTATCGGTGAGAGATTCCCCCTTCCAGACGGAGAAGGAGGTGTCCTGCGCTACGATTACGGAAAGGTCATGGCGATCTTCATGGGATGTGTGTTTGCATATGTCATCATTCTGGTACTTGTTGGACCGGAGAAGTTGGGGAGGGATATGAGTGAGAGCGCTGCTGGAGGGGAACTGGGTGAGGATTGGAGCGATAAGGAGAAGACAGCCGAGGCTTTGGAGAGGGTTTAGGGGGGTCATGAGGTGTGAGACGTTTACGAATTTTCCTGACGATTTTCTTTCATCGGATTCTGGGCAACGGAAGAGAGAGTGCGGGGATGGCGAAGAAGTGAGGGGGGAAGGCATTCATGTTTGTAAATATTAAGGGGGCGCTATCCTTGATTTTGAACCATCTGTCTGAAGGAGTTCCTCGAGGAAATCGATAATAGGAGTTAGCATTGAACGGGTGTATGACCATTTCGCCCCACGAAAAACGGTGGAGTAAGATCTTGGCGCTGATTGACTAGCACCTTATTCTGCCGGCGGTAATGGATGCTTAAATTGTCGCAAACAAGGGTTTAGGCCTTTGGCAATTGAACCCACAGGGGAAAAGAGTACTTGCCTTGCGATTCCTCCCTCGTTTTGGGATATCTGGTGCATGATTGGAGGATTATCGGCTTCCTTCTCTTTGAAATGTTGCTTGTAGAGAATTTCCCTTGTTGGGTTTGTTTCAGGAAAAAAATAAATCTGTGCTCATGCGGGATCTGCTGGGCAATGGGTCAGGCACACAGTACTGGTTCGGCGGGTTAATTCCTGCGGGGGGGTACCCTGGACGGCCGATGTTTCCGGATATCATTGAATTTTAATTGACCTGCTGCTCCCGAGAGTAGTTTACGGCATTTGGATAGCGTTCCAGTCAGTGGCTGCTGGCATCCATCAACAGTGCCGTCACAGGTCGTCACTCACCCTAGCTTGAAATTGCTTCCGAAAACCCTTCCTGAAGCTATATCTCGGTTGGCGCTGCTAGGATAAATAAATTTGATTGAATCCCAGTGGGCCGATTTCTCGCTTCTCCAGTGGCGTTTTTTTTCGATGTATCATAGCTCCCGTTGAGCCCGTTTAAGGTATTAGTGTAGAAAAAGTATCTGCTTGTGTGCCCGGCCATAGAACGATGAAAATTTCGCATCCCGTTCATATTAGTCTTTGGTAGTATACTCCGTAGTGGCGGAAGGGCTGTGACTGGCATGGGGAGGGAAGGAATCCTAGCAAATTTTGCGATATTCTGAACACTAACTTAAACCGCTTTGGCTTTGGGCGGTTTTTCTTATCATGCTTCCTCAGATGAGATTGTCTTCAACAGACAAAACTAGAGTGAATGTTGCATCTGGGGCAATGAGGAATGCAGTTGATATAAGAAAAACTAATCAACCAACTATAATAGTATTTAGCACGACGGTGATGATCGTAGTAATTTGGCCTTTTTTTATTTTTATTTTTTACTGAGGTGCCCTGTGACCTAAAGTTACTTAAAATCTAGTAATTCACTTAATACGCCCCCCCTCCCAAGCACTCCATCCCTAGTCACCATCACAATCTCAAGGGGTAGTGAAAGCCCGGGAATCAGCACGAAGACTGTAGAGACAAAAGTGGCGTCTGTAGTGAGAATGGTGATTGACTGTGTTACGGGGTAGAACATACCCGTGTACAAGGGGACACCGATAACAAATTTCCTATTCTGCATTGAACTCAGTTTTACCCCGCATATATATATCTCCCTGGGGTTGTCTCTACAGGCACTGTACTCACCTCCGTCTTTGAAAAAAAACAAAAAAACATCACATTCACTAGCCTCACTTGGCATTTGGCAAAAAAACACGTTTCAGGGACAATTCCTGGATTCCCTTTGTTCTAAAACATAAATAAAAACCATTCTAATTACTGGGCCAACCCCCACCACCCCGCATTGAGGGCCACAGAATCAACCGCCTATGTACAGTAGAGTACATGCTGTACCCCACAAACAGCCTCTTACTGGAACTAAGCGCTTACGCATCCCCTTTGCCCTTGTTATCCGGCATTGCTATGATCCTCAGGAAACCATCAGTAATTGGAACTGTCTAGAATTCATCTCGTCCTTACCCGTGACACGGTGCTCGCCACCACTCCCTCTTACACAGGTAATAAATGCTTTCGACCTCTCCCGCATTACGGTCACCTTATTTGGATCATCCAGGGTGACTAAGCCTGCTCCCGTGGCAATCACTTGTGCTTGGTCGATCCCCTTGGCACGTTCGTGTTCGGTTTGATCGTTTTTTTTGTCGAGTCTTTTTCTAAGTTTTCAATTAGTTTGTTTTCATTTCTCTCTTGATATTGGACAGGTCAGACATCATCCTCCGCTGTGACCAAAGGAGCAGCCCTGTGCAGAGAATTGTCACCGCAAGTTCGCCAAAAACAGAGGCTTGTTCTGGAATACGATCCCTTTATTAGCCAGTAATCAAAGAAGGATTGAATAAAAGGGTATCCCTACGACGATAAGCTATTGTTTTCGGTAGACCTGGGGGGGAAATAGTGAAGAAAAAATTGACACTGTGGAAGGTAAAACTATTGGAAGAACTTCCTTGGTAAGCAGAGAGACCACCAATTATATCATACCCGCATGATATATCTCACGTCATGGTAGGTTATAGCCCTTGCAACCCCAACCCAGACAGCTCTCAACGGGCACCTTTCCCCAACTACTCTGCTCCACACAGTTGATTGGGCATTAAAAAGGGTTCACCGGATCGTAGCAAAATACTGGCCTCAGACATGTCCCAGTACGGAAAATCACATCCGCCTTAAACATATGCCGAATTACATTCACGGCCAATAGCATCTACCTTCTCTGGCAGAATTCCACAAAGTCCAGGCGTTCTAGCATGCGTCAATCTGTAGATTTGATGAGACTATAGGAGTATTCATCGAGAGTAATTGCCATCAGTACTGAAATTCAGTTTATAAACAGGAGTAGTCAACCAGAAATGCTTACCTAGGTAGGAGCATTGCCACGTCTTCTAATGAATATAGCAGCCACCTCCCCCAGCTGAACAAGGTCGAGATCAATTGCTGCTGTAGGGTTTATTCCAGCCGGGCAATTCCCGGCATAAAATTCGTCAGACGAGGTGGTGGGGTTTTGGTGCTGGGTAGGAGGTGGTGGGAAGATTTCCTACGATGGTGACCGATATGTTAATCAAGTGATCAATTATCAATAGTCCGTAAATGGAAACCTACATAGTGATCGTGAAGGCTGGCACGACCATCTGGGTGACGTCAAAGGAATACAGATTTCCACCAGAGGACAGCAGGGATCCATGGGGATCAGCGGGAATCTGTGGGGCTCCATGGGGATCCGTGAGGACCTGCGGAAATCTGTAAGGATCTGTAGGGATCTCTGGGGACCTGTGGGTAACAAACTTTCCATGGTGCCCCATGGCCTTCCCTGTCCCCTTGCCAAAGGCCCCGGGCAAAATTTTCTCCAGGACTGGACGGGCTATGACTTGCAGCCCTTCTCGTCCTACCCTCGGGACGGACGGACTGCCCCGTTGCGAACACTGCACGTAATACAGATAGAACAAAGCGTATCCTGTTGTGCTCATCTCCGGGACAAAGTTTTGTGAGCAGGACAACACGGGCTGCCATTCCTGACCCCAACTGCCGGAGCCTCGTATTCTCCCTGAGGTTTATAGTGGACTCGCTCCACCAAGATTCCAACACTACGCTTGGGAATTCACGGTCTTCTGTCTGGTTATGTCTAACTCTGGGGACGAAGGTAACGTCGGCCTCCTTTACCGAGCCGTAAAACTGACTGACAAAGTTGTCGTACCCTAGAAAACGAGATTAACCAGGATACCCGATTTGAAGTTAGTGGTATCGGTCACAAACCCGGAGAATTCATCACAAGCATCGTGTCAACCCAAGGGCTGGAAGGAGGCCATTCATGCCGGCCATCACGATTCCTGTATCAATCTAGGCACCACCACATTCATGTATCTCGGATGGCATAACAATTTCGAATACCCGCTGGCATGAGAACCAATGGATTCTGTTGGAATTAGTGGATGTAGAATAGAAGAAGCCCTGCACCCACAATAGACTTACAGAAAGGGACCTCCCTCCAAATCATTGGAGGGGTCTCGTAACCTTTTCCGGACGGCCGCGAAGTCATTTGGATCCAGGTCATCAAAAACCAATAACTCTAGGCTACGCGTCTGTATAGCCTTCACCACTGTGTTGAACATGTTTGACAACATGATCTGGCGGGAAAGTATCCAGCTGTATAAGGAATAATGTGAAAGAGAGAGAGAGCTCTCTGCGGATAGTGGTGGAGCAACTCACCTGGTTGCTGCGGTGGTCGAAGAGGAGGAGAGGTTTTGGTGGAAGTGTAACCTGCTGTGGAACAAAGGTGGACATGAAAGAGGATGTAGACGTAGAGGCAGTTGTGTGTGACGGTGTTAGTCTGGGTGCATGTGTGAAGGTCAGGGAGTGAATTATCTGTATGGGGTTATACCCCAGTTGTGGTGTTTGTATGGGGCTCTACCCCACCGGAGGTGTTTATATATACTGGTCATTAGTTATCTGTTTGTCTGATCATCGAGCATCTTCTCTCCTCTCCTCCGATCCTGTGCACGGACGACCACGTCTTTCTGCCACCATCAGGTTTTAGCGGCCACAGCGAAGCTTGCTAAGACAAATATATATAGAAAAACGACACAGCTAGTGTATATACAGTACTGTACCACCAATCCAGAAAACTCGAACACACACACTTACCCTAATATAGTCGTGTACGACGTTAAATGAGGGGCCAGAGAGAGGTTCGGAGAGGTCCCAGCTTCCTATCATACTCGTACCCTTCCTGACATCTTTCCTACCAAATTGAAACATTCTTTACTCTCCGGGGTAATTATTGATCGCCACGACCCAAAATCCTCTGTCTGACCTATCATTTACCTACATACCGGAAGGTACACCGACTCTCGCCGACATGGCTGGCTCTCCACCAGGTGCTCGCTCGCCTCGACCCAATATCCACATGCTCCTGGATGACAATATACTGTATTATCCGCTACGAGGATTACCGTATTGTCAATATTGAATGGCGGTAAGCGGTTGATGCTGCGGGGGTTGGCCAGTTAGTACACTAATTTCCCCAATTTCTTGTAACTCTTGATGTGCCACAAAGTCTTTGGAATCTTCTGCTGAAGGATTCTAGCGGTCATCAACAGGCGAAAAACTAGGAGTGACCTCCCTGGAATCTACAATTGCGGGGTTGGAAGGGATTTCTCAAAAGATAGTCAGCCCTACCTCACCTTCTAGGGTCAGAGTTGGGGTATCATAGCTAATTTGTTATGGGATCTTTGCTGATGCGAGTGTAGCGAGATCGTGGCTTTACTTCAGGAGCTTCATGGCATGCGTACCCATGAGGATGAGGGCCCGAGAGTCACCAATTTTCACCGGGCGGTCGTGGCTGAATACCCGCACCATAACTCGCGCTTCTTCAACATCAACTAACGGTAAAGACAGGAGTAGATATATGATAACAACAGGAATAACCAAGTCCTCCTGTCTTCACCAGTAGGTATGTCTCCCACTCACTTTCAAACACAAAGCTAACAAAAAATGTAAAACAAACAAACTCCCATGGCCTCCGGGCATCAGACTTCCCGGCTTTCCCTACAGATTTCGTAGCCTTCCTCACAACCTTCACGGCGGATGCATCGATCCAAAACTCAAGCGCATTCCTACAGTCAAAATGCTTTACCGAAAGTCA